TATATGTGGAGTTTGCATGTATCCCTGTCCGTGGTCGCGTGGGGTGCTCCGGGTTTTCCCTCCACATTTAGAAAACATGCGTTTAGACTATTTGGCTGCAATAGATGAGCCATCATTTGTGGCCAGGTCGCTTCTAAGAAAAAAGCTATACATCTCAATGGGCCTTACCTGGTAAAATATATATTTTTTATAGTTTGGTTTATTGCATTTCCATCCGTCTTCTCATTCTTCTTTCGCACGGCGTTTGGGCGAAAATAGAACCCCAAGAGGCGACGCGCAAATCGCACGACATCCGGTGGCAATAGCCGAGCTGGGGAGCAGTCCGCCCTGTCGCACCGGGCGAGACGCGCGTGTTGCGTATTGTTTAGGGCAGTCACCGGTGTCACGACCACAACGGCAGTGGCCGTGCGGACAGAATTCAGAAATCCCGTCATTCGACCCCATTCCCAACCAGACGAGCGCACCCGGGCAAGTTGCCTTAAGCCTCCCTCCCCCATCACCCTCCTTCCCCCCCGCCACCATAACCCTCTGGTTGTTTTACAAGTAGAACACTAAACAGCACTAATGGTCCTTTCCTACCAGCGCTTCCTGCTGCAGCCAATTAAGATTTCCAAACGTCTTGCGGGCAGCCGAGCGGGGTCGCGGCCGGGAGCCCGAAGGAGCCTGGTCGTCGCCCTCCATTCGCTATCCACTGCTGGATGGAGCCTCCGGCAGCAGTGTGACGTCGGCAGAGGCGACAGCGCCATTTGAATCGTCGTCGTCGTCAGCGTTTGCTGCCTGCCAAGTCAGTCGCGGATTGCAACGGTAGAGGCTCGTCGGTTCGATCTCCGGGTGCGGCTGTTGCAAGGAAGGAGCAATATTGACTGAACTTCACTTCCCCTCCCCCGCAGCCCCCCTCTGTCCACCTCGGCCCTGGGTTCGATCCCGACCCTGACGCCTGCTGCTGTATATTTGGAGTTTGCGGTGTCTCTCTTTCTCATCATCACGGTGGCTGGGAGATGTTAACTACCTCGCCTGGTGTGCAGGAGGTAGTGGGTTCGATCCCGACCCTGACGCCTGCTGCTGTATATTTGGCGGTGTCTCTCTCTCTCTCTGTGGTCGCGTGGATTTTTCTCCGGGGCCTCGAGCTTTATCCTCCACAATTTAGAAACGTGCGTTTAGGACATTTGGCCGCTGCTATTATTTTCTACACGATCAGCCACCTCGTTGAGCCGTCATTTGTGTTGCTTCTAAAAGAGAGCTACATAGATCAGTGGGCCCTTTACCTGATCAAATTTCAAAAAGTTAGTTCGTATACATGAGTACACCAGAGTGGATCGACAGCTTGGGTGGTGGGGTAAAGTGTGGGTGTTCCCACCTCTTCCAAGAGAGGTGGAAGAGGAGGCCAAGCGTGCTCAAGGGGCTCTCCAGAGCTCCCTCTAGCGCAGGTCACTTGCACCGGCAGTCACGTGAGCAATGCAATTGCAAGGCCCGTTCCTCTCTACATTTCACCATCAGCCATTGCCGATCTACTGCTGGATGAAGGCCTCCCACACGCCGTGGCCATCCCTCGCGACGCCAGGGCACAACGAGATGACTTCATCGCGCCGAAGCGGAGAGTCGCGAGCGAAACATTGCAATCGACGTCGTCTCGCCTGGGACACAATGCCCGGCAGAACGGGATGATTCCGCTAATGGTGGGATTAGGGTTGATGGTTCAGGGTTTATATGGGCGCTTTTCGTGATCGAGAGGTTATGGGGGTGAATGGGTTTAATCTGTGGCGATCACTCCAACCTTAGCTTCGAGAGCTAACCCTATTAAGGGTCTGAAACCAAGCACTAAACCTGCCCCGATTCGCAGCACCAATCATCTTAAGCCGAATCTGCCCCCTATTCACATGGCTCGTATCCAGTGTCGCCAGGCTACACGGCGCCCCGAACGCGGCACGCAGAGGCGCCGGAGAACAACGCGAGAGCCGAACCACGGCTCACGGTGAACTCTGCGTTTTGCCTCCATTTCTCATCGACCTCCACCTCTACCCCCCCCCCACCTCTCTCTCTCTCTCTTCGCTCCAGCTCCCGTCTGTTGTCTTTCACCTGTCCCCTGCCTCTCTCCTCCACTGTCTCTCCAACCCGTCTCCCATCCTTCCTATCCCATTTCTTGCCTCCCATCTCCCGTTTGCCTTCTCCTGCCTCCCATCTCCCGTCTCTTTTAGCCCACCTATTGTCCTCTCCCATCTCTCGTCTCCCATACCAAAGGGTTTACTCTCATATCACATCTCCTGCAGAACGGCTTCTCATCTCTCTTGCCTTCCATCTCCCGCCTTCTCCTACGGCTCATTTCTGCGAAACTTTTTCCCCATCTGCTCGTTTCTCCCATCTCCGCTCCTGTCCCTGATCTCCCAACTCCCGTTTCCACCCCCAAGTCCCACATCTCCCGGATCCCAAGCACACAACGTAACCAGACCACCACCAACCTCCTGTTCAGACACAAATACTTTATTTTAGAGCAAGTGAGAGCCTGCCAGGTTAAACTCATCTAGTTCACAGAGACATGTCTAGCTCGCTCTATAACCGAGATTACTTGCTATCGTTCACACGAGAGGATGCACCGAGTCGTCAAAAAAAGTTGGGGGCCCACGTGATTTTCTCCCTGTTACCTGGCATTTCTATAAACAACGGAGACAGCCCCTTTGGTCAATCTACTGCTGGACGAGGCCTTCCTCATGCCGAGCATGGGCCGTCCTGGTCATGTGACCATACTTCACTGCGCTGGGTCAATGCAGGCTCGTGGAGATGGGACACACAGACGCGCGTCTGCTCCACTGTCCTCTGCAGAGGCTTGCAGCCCGATCACACCCCGTTTATCCATAGCGGTGTCCAGGATCAACACGCCAGCTTAGCTTGCAGAATCTGACGATTTTGGGTATTCAGGGTTACTTCTTCATCGGTGTAATAGCAGCACAAGTGGAACATTCCACTTCGGCGTTATGAAAGAAGACAGCGAGGCATACGGCCACGTGTGTGGTCAGGTGCATAAACCACCTCGAGTCAAAATACCCCCCAAGCTTGAGTGAAATGGTCCAGCCCTGGCATTGCTCGCTCACGCCCCGCCTCCCAACAGGTGATTTGGCCAAGACGTCATGGAAGAAGGACTACCCACACTTTACCCCACCACAAGAGATCTTGACGACTGACTTAACTGCAGCAAAGGGATTTTAATAAAAACTCGCGTCACCGTTTCAACTGCCGGAGCCGGAAGGTCGAATCGAACTGTTGACCTCTGCAATTCCAGCGCGATAAACGTTACACCACAGTGCTATGCCTATTGAATTCAGTCGGGGACTCCACTGCTGGGGTGTTCAGCAAAACCGGACGCTGACCCACGAACCACTTGCTCATCTTCCCCTTGGAACAGAAGGCGCTTCACCCTCTTCCATCGCTACTGGAGAACTCCAGCTCTACCCCACGGGCTGGTAGTGGTGGTAGTGGTGCTGGTGTGAGGGGGGTGAGTGGGAGTGGGGGAAGATGCGTGGGACCGCGGTGGCGCAGGCGGCCAGTGTTGGATCACGACGCCCCCGTAGATGAAAGTTTCTAAAACGTTCTGAAATGTTTCACTTGAATTTGTATAAAATGTTTTACTTTATTCGCAAACACAGTATGAACATGATCTCGCGATCGCCATGACAGCGGCTCCTGCCGTCTCTCTCCCGCCATTTGACAAATTTAAGTAACTTGAAACGGACGGTCGCGAGCGCGCCCCCGAAGCCGCCACTGCCGTTGGAGATGTCGCGCAATGGAACGACGCCCCCCCTCACCACCCCCATCCCCGTCGAGCGCAGCCGCTCGCTGTGGGAGTGGAGATCCCTGGGGGGGGGGGGGGTGTCGGGTGGATTAGGGGTGGGGGGGGGGCCCTCGCTGTATGAAAATCTAATCAATGAAACAAATAGCGCGCCAGATGGGGCCCCGCGGTGATGTAAGAGACGGTGATGTAATGGGGTCAGTGGGAGAGGGGGGTGACATCACCGGGCCGGGGAGACGGGACGACGACAGCGCCCCGGCATCGCTCGGCAGCAGCTGGGGCGCCTTCACAGCGAGCGCGGTGGGCCCAGCGTTTTTCGGTCGCCCGTGCTCAACGCCGGGGGATTGGCGCACGACAACAATTTTGGAAAAATGTAAAAAAAAATTCCAAGGCTCTGTCATCGAGGGGGGAAGGTGGTAGGCAGGCCGCCGACGCACAACCAGACGCCAGCCCCAGCGTGCCACCACCCCCGCCATGCAGCAGCACCACAGCTGCCCTCCGAGAGCGCAGAGATGCGACCTTTAACCCCGGGGGGGAGGGGGGGCAGGCAGGGGGCGGCATACCTTCCCCCCCCCCCGGGCCAGCGTCGGCGATCGTTTCCGCCGCGGCCCACGCTCGGTTAAACGGCGAACGCCGCCACCGCTCTCCATTCGTCCAAAACGAGCGATTAAAAGAATTACGGAAAAATGTCGCGACGAACGTGCGCAGCGGTGGCCGTCCGTGGCGGGGGGAGCCCCAGGGAGGCCGCGGTCGCGTAAACAGTGACCAGAAAAATGCGCCAATTTACTCCAAACACCAAACACGTTCCCGCGATTTTAAAGGGGGTCCGGCAGGAGCGTCGTGCGTCTGTTTACTCGCCGCTGTCGCAGCCTGGTGCTGCTGCTGCTGCTTCCAAATAGCGGGGCCGCTGCACGACGCCGGGACCGCTTTACTCAAAACGCCCTTGCGCTGGGGTTTTTATTTTTTTACTTTCTGAAACCCAACATTAAGAACGCAGATGTCCGAACTTAAACGGGCGAACATCCTTGCCGGCGAAACTGCAAACACTGGGAGCTGAGCGGGTGGGTGGGCGTTGGCTGGAGGCCTGCAACGTTCCCCACCCCACCTCCCCCCCCACCACACACCCCAGGGGGTCACGGCCCACTCAGCGTAAAGCTACGGCAATGAGCGCACGGCCTGAAACAAAAGCTGCCATCTTAACCCCCCCACCCTCCCCCCACCACCACCACCACCAGCGGCGCAGCGGCCCGCACGCTCAAGCCTCTAAATGCGTCCAGCAGCTGTTTCCAGGCTTGCGTCGTGGCACCGCGCGTCCGAGCGAGGGCTCCGCGTTGGTGGCGGCGATGGCGGTGCCGCTGCCCCGCCCCACCGAGCCGCCGATGACAGGAGGCGGCTGCCCGCTACCGCTTGCTCTTGGTCAGGCGGATGCTCTTCTCGATCTCGAACGTGCGGTGGTCAACTCGGTCCAAGAAAGCCTGACGCTCGATGTACCTGCGCGTGGGGGGGGGAAGACACGGTGTGGAGGGGGGGGCAGGGGGGGGGGACGTTCCGTCTCGGTTACAACGGCAGCAGCGCAGGAGAGGAGGACGACGACGGTGCGGATTGGGGGACGGAGCGCCTAGTCGGCACTGTCGAAGGTCAGGGTTCAAATCTGGATTTCGGCCTGCTGTGAGAAAAGCGGGCCGTCAAGTGTCCGTGAGTTTATGGTTTCATCCTGGTCACCTATAACTGATTAAACAAAGCATTTTTAAAGCATTTAATTTGTTTTGTCGCTTAATTTAAGAAAAATTCCAGCTGTGAGAACTTAAAAAAAACAAGATTTTGGTTTGATTGACATACAACAAAAGGGTTAATGGGAGGGTTCTGCCCCCTAGTGTCACCTAAATGGATCTCGGAAGAGGTTCTGTGATATCCGCTTCTGTGGGCCATTCTCTAACATAAAAAATCAGAATCTTTATTTACACTGGAGGAATCTGATGAGCTATAATGCCATTTTTTCACAGATTTCCAGTAACACAGCGAAACATCACAATTTACATCCGATTCCACATCTTCTTCTCGTGGGAGGGGAAGTGGGGAGGGTTGGGGTTCCCTGGATTCAGCTCCCTCCATCGCCACACCGGACCTCTTCACCTCGCATCACCGGACTCCGTCCTGGGGGATTTTTTTACAGCCACCGGCCGATACAATGTAACGCCATACCCAGGACAAGCGTTTGCACGTGCCGATGGTCTAATCCACGAGGATGTTCAGCTTCTTCAAGAGCTGAACTCAGTCCCAGAAGAAGCTCCCAGTACGTGGGGAAGAAGAGGGGGGGGGAAGTCGGGCATTGTGCCGATCAACGCGTGCTAAATACCACGAAAATCTACGCAAGTGGGCAGCTGCTCGCACCGTTTAAATTCAGCCCCAAACGTTTCATCTTCGTCCGCCGCAACGTGGAGGTGGCGTTCGGCGAAAGCGAAAAAGGCTTCCGTGAAAATCTGTCCAACGCTGCTGCTGCTGCTGCTGCCGCGACAGCAGCTGGGATCCGTTTGGGGGAAATTGAAGGCGGCCGACCGTCGTCAGCCGTGCCAAGGCCGGGCCGCGCGTTTTTATCGCGTTCAGCACAAAGAGCGCGTTTCTGTCGAGAGGTTCGGAATCCGACGGAGCGGTTTCACGATCAGCCCCCCTGTCCCTCCCCCCCCCTCCCCTGCCGCCCCGCCGGTGCGAGCGCACGGGACGCGTCGGCCAGATGGTGCACGTCCACAGCAGCAGCGCCAAACGTGCCTGGCGAGACCGCTGACGTTACAATGAAAACAAAACTTTAAAACCCCGTTCTAAATATCGGGGGCCGGGCACCTGAAGTTGCCTTGGCAGGAAAAGTGAAAGATTCAGCACGTCGCACCCGCTGACTCAATACAACAAGCTCGTGTCATCGCCGTGACCATCATCTGTCTACTGCTGGATGAAAGCCTCCCCACGTCACCGCTATCCCGCACAAGCCACCTCATCCGCTCCCAAGTCCGCATTGGTCGTGCTCTCCGAATGAGCGTTGTGCGTTTTTAGCGAGTTATAAAAACTTGTGAGAACAGGCGTCCTCTGGTCTAACACCGTTTGAGACTAGGCTCGAAATAAAGCTGTCTCTGGTGTGGACCAATCAGTTTCAAAGACAATGCATATACTATCGGTGTGTTTTTTGTTTGCATTCTGACCACAAGTATTGTGGTTAATGCAGACATGATTCCTTGTAAAAGGTTTCAGTTTGGCGTTTTAACATCTTAACAACTGTTTTGTTGCCAGAAAAAATGGGAAAACCTCTTCTCATATTTTGGTACTGGCAAAGGAGGTCCCATGATATAAAAACTTGGTAAAAAGTGGGCCTTGACCCGTGGACACGACTACGCAACTCCCCTTCCTCGACCTCAGGGTGCGGCCACCAGAGCAACACAAATGCACACATGCACGCACCCACACACGCACGGGGGCACTCCCTGTCCCCAAGGGCAGCCCCGTGCCGATTTCGATGAGCTGGGCGTCCGCGAGACTTGTCCCCCCCGCCCCCCCTGGCTCCGGCACCGCGAGCCGCTTGCCAGCGCTGCCCACACACAAGCCAGGCGGGCAAGCCTGGGAACTCTCGCAATTATGGCCCGCGCTACGGCTTAATGAGCACACGTGCTCCCGCTCAGCTGATTATCAAACAAAGGGCGATTAATCGGAGAGGTATTTCTTCTCTCCTTTTTTTTTTCTCCGCGACTCTCCCTCGTCGCGCGTCTCGAGTTCACGTTCCCCGCTCACCAAAACAAACCCCCCTCCTCCCGCCAACCACACCGCACACCGCTCGTTTAGCACCACACCAGCCAATGCAATTGCTCAGCAAAAAAAAATGTTTGTCGATTGAAAATTATAATGATAATAATAATGAGAGTTCCACGGGGATTTACCCCCCCCCCCACCCCAGTGCCTCCTGCCCAGCGACCGCGTATGCGTGCTGCTCCACCGCATGTGCGAGGCAGTGTAAAGACTCCCGCGCTTACTCGCTCACTGACTCGCAGGTGGTAGCACACTGGGTGAGTCAGCAGGTATGTGGCTTGTGCAGGCCATCTGTTGGATTGCGTGTACGTGTGGTGTGTAATTGTGGGGTGTGTGCAGTGTGTGTATGTGTGGAGTGTGTGTGCAGTGTGTGTGGAGTGTAGTTTGGTGGAGTATGTGCTTGTAGCATGCAGCCCATGTGTAAGTTTCGCATCTCCGATTAGCACGGTAAGCGACATACAGTGAGAATGACGTTAGACATACATAAATAAGTAAAGTACGTGTGGAGTGCAGTGTGTGTGTGCAGTATGTGACCCATGCGTAGGTACTTGTGGAGCGTGCGGGTAAAGCAGGCAGGTTGCCTGTAGGTATGGGTGTAGCTGAAGCATATAGTCCCCACTTATAGGCAGCATACACGCCATCTCTGTGTGGAGTGTGCAGTCTGTATGTGAAGCATGCTGTGTCGTCCATACATAGGAGTCAGGTGGAGTGGGCAGGCGACGCAGGCATGTGGGTGGTCTCTCGGTCATGGAGAGGGAACCTGTGGCCCGTGGGCAGGATACGGCCCACGACTTCATTTCACAACGGTCCCAAGCCACGTGAGGCTTCACGGCAGTGCTCTTCGTTGCAAGGGCCCCACGGGCCAACTGGCAGCCTCCTGGTGGCCTTTAGTGCAGCCCCTGACAATACCACTCATGTGAAAACACCCCCATCATGCTGGCAAACCCGACAATCGTTTCAAAATGTGTGGCAGCCCTCACACTGATGGTGTGTTATCGACAAAAGTGCCAGTGCCGCTGCCGCCCCCGCCCCCCCTGAAAATGAGCGAAGAACACCGCTTTACGGCATCCTAACAGCCTGCGAATTATATTCCTCAATAACTGCAAGCGTTCTAATGCCACTTATCGATCGAAAACACTCGAGAGAATGTGTTTGGACCTGGCAACACCGCATTGCCGATGGTTTAAAGACAGCGAGCCCTCGTTGTTTGTCGCGTCGCCATTGAATAAGGCTAAGGCGCGAGTACTCACGTGCGTTACTGCATGACGTTTTTGGCAACGGTAGTTCGGCAGAGCAGCATCGTGTGCGTGATTTGCTGAACGGCCGTTGCCCGGGGCCGCCGTTGGTGCTCATGCAAACCACCACCGACGCAGTGTCACCAAATGAACCATCCCAAAAGGCTTTTTTTTTAAATCCCATTCGGCCCTCACCAAGTAACAAAGGCTTCTCACGCCGTTTCACGTTAAACGTGCAAGAGGATCCTACAGCTGATCAGCGAGCGAGGAGGTGCGTGGGGTGCACGTAAGTTGCGTATGTATGGGCGTGGTTGTGTGTGGTTGCGGCTGCATGTACTGTGGCTGGGGTTGCGAGTGGTTGCGGTTGCGTGCGATTGCGGTTGCGTGCGATTGCGGTTGCGTGCGATTGCGGTCTTGCGCTATTTTGCGGTTGCTCGTATTGGGGGTTCAAGCGATTGCGAGCACCCACCCGGCCTTGCCGCGGTTGTGTGTGGCGAGCTCGTCGCTGATGCCCTCCCCCTCCTTGAACTGGTCCCAGTCCATCTTGGACTTCTCCAGGGTGCTCATCTTCGTCTTCTTGCCGCCGATCTGGCCGAGCACGGCGCTGAGGCCGGCCGCGCCGCCCGGCCGCTTCGCTCTGGGGACCGGCGGACAGCCGGGGAGGGGGGGAGCACAGGGATTTTATTTTCAGATTGTTTAGTAAAAAAACAAAAAGAAGCCACTTGCCCACTCGCAGACGGTCACCAGCATCGCGCGCTTTCAGATGCGCTTCTGCGGCCGTCTGAAAAGCTCTTCCCTCCGATATTAGGAAGCCACTGGAGCTATGCACTTTTAAATCACCTAGCTGAAAACTAATTTCTTCAGAATTGCTTTTTGTCTTTGGTTTGTCTTTTCCCCGCACCTCTGATTAGCACGATTGGCTACGTACTGTGCGAAAGAAGTTCAACATAAATACATATATACATACAGAGGTTAAGGGGGTTAGAGATCACACGTACGCAAGTGAGGGAGCAGTGGAGGTGGTGCCAGACCCAGAACCTCCCTTCTCATCCTCCTTCCCCTCCTCCTTTTCCGCCTCCAGAGACTTGAGATAGGAGCGTGCTTCCTTCGACTCGGCATCCACCTCCTTCGTGACTCTGCGCCACCACACAGACACCCCATCGTCCATCAGCAGACACTCTTCCACGCTTCGCGTCTCTCCGATTAAATCTCTCAAGACGTTCACTATCAAGTGGCCACGGTGTGCAAACGCGAGAGACAAATTCTTCGACGCGTGTGTGCGGATACCGAATATTATCGATCGTTTACAGTTACAGTAAAATCTTGGATTGCGAGTAACTTGGTCTGCGAGTGTTTTGGAAGACGAGCAAATTTTTAAAATAAATATTAATTTGATAAACGAGCGAGGTCTTGCAATACGAGTACTGTAGTACGTACAGTATATGCTTTGTCTGCCGAGCGTCACGTGATCTCAACTGAGCCAATGGTTCTCTCTCTCTCTCGCTGCGGGATTGTGGGTAATCGTCTCCCATGCTCGGTCTCAGTCGGCGTGCCTCACTCGTATAGCAAACATCCGTGCGAGCGTACACTGTTTACGATAGTGTTGTGACCACGTGTGTGCGTAAAGCATTTTTTTATTTTGTGTCCAAGTGTAGTGACTGTTGTTTAGTAACTGTACTGCAAGTGAAAGTCGTCCTACACAATAACCCTCCTCTCCTCTCTCGTCTCCCTCACACCAGCCACGATTAAATGTAATTAATACATTTCATTACTTTATATTAAATTTAAATAATAAAAATATTAAAAGGTATTTTGTATGAATCATTTTTATGTGAATACAGTATTTTTTGGTTGTGGAACGAATCATCTGAGTTTCCATTATTTCTTATGGGGAAATTCGCTTTGATATACGAGTGCTTTGGATTACGAACACGTTTCCAGAACGAATTATGCTCGCAATCCAAGGTTTTACTGTTATTGTTGCACGCAATGCTTAATAATGCAAAACGAGAAATGAACAACCCTAACTCTGAGCGCAGTTTGCGTTCTAACACAAGAAGTTTCAATTGGAATAGACCAACGACCACCCACCTGACCTCCTCCCCTGCAAAGTCAAACACCTTGGTGATGGAGACCTTGGCTCCTTCCCTGGGCCTCTCCGTCTCCTTCCGCGGCTCCGTCTTCACCGCCGTCGAGCTCTGCCGACAGCCGACGAGCGGACAACCGGAGACATCGCTAAACCCGTCTCGCGACACCAAAAACCAACACGCAGTGCCAGGTTGTGGTGTCTGCATGGAGACACGGCCACTCCACTGCTCTTCTCTGCACTTAACGAACGATCCGCACTGCATCAGCGCACCGTATAAACACATTAAAATCTTATCTATAAATTGACTATGAAATGTTATCTGTGAAAACACAAACCGTTGACATAACGCGGGGCTTATCGTTCTGATGTCTTTACTGTTTGTACTGAATGTTGTTTAGCACGATGTCTGACGTTTCGCTTCGTGTGCTGGATGCTTCTTCAGGTGAATTGAGCTCTCCACAGAACGTGCAGAGAAACGTCGGACATCGTGTCAAATAACACGCGGTACAACCAGAACACATAATTGAGAGCTACACAGTGCAACCACGAAAAATCTCCACAGTAAGAATAAAATTGCATCTATGCAGTTTCACATACGACCTGCACACTCCACAGTGGCGAGACGCTAACTATACGCCTGGTATACAGGAGGTCGCTGGTTTGACCCCAACGCCGTTTAAGAGCATTGGGCTGCTATAAATGTCCACGTGATAAGCCACTTTGTTGAGCTACTATTTGTGGCCATGTCGCTTCTGAAAATGAGCTATATAGCTCAATAGGCCTTTACCTGGTCAAATTTTGTTTTAATAGTTTTAGTTGAGAGTATGATCGTGTTTTCTGTGAAAATCTCAGCTGTTGAGAACACGTGAGCCTTACTTGGCTGGCAGTCTTGTTGACCTCCGCTTGGCCACCCTCCTTGGCCTTTGGCTTCTGGCCCACGTCGCTAAGGAAACTGGCCCAGAGGTCGTCGGCGCGGCTCTTAGATTTGCCGGAATCGGCCGGTGTCTCCGTGGCGACCGCGGTGCCCTCTGCGTCTTCCTGCCCAGGCGACCCCTGACCCCCAGACTCCTCTTCAGCCTCATCCCCCGACAGACGGATGCCTCCAATTCGTGTTCTCTTCCTGGTGACATCGTTTAGCAAAACGAAAAGTACACAAACGTGTTAATTGCACTGCGGCACCCGATGTAACTGTGACGTATCTTTAGTTTTACTTTGAGCAGTTATGTGCACATGACTTTGAAGTTGGCAAGTAACCATGGTGATCCCTGTTGACTAGCCAAGGGGACACATGAAGGATTAATCTAGGGGCACAGCTTATGACTGCCACTACCGGAAACAGTAGGCTATTGCACATTACTCATTAGAAGGCAGTGTTAATGATGAACGTAATTATATTTTAGTTGTGTTTGTTTACCACTGTCATGGTGTTTTAATGTTTGATGTTTAAATAGGCCCTCAACGGGTCATTACTTTGCATCACATTTGTGTTGCCCCCTGCTGCCTTTGTCCACACAGCAGTATAAATGTGAATACCCAAATCAGTGGAGAGACAACAGGAAAATGATGTGGGTCAGAAGGTGCAAGTCATGCAAGTGGAAGGCAGAAGAAGAGGTGAGGCGATGTGGTGCTATCGGACACGGTGGCCCGAGGAACGGAAAGAGAGATGGCGCAGGACAAAGCAGCATGGAGGAGGTTGGTAAGGACAGCGGACCCCACATGAGTGGGACAAACGCGTGGAAGAAAAAGACCCAAATCAGCTGGAATGGCATCGCATTGGGCTGTGGGGACTGGTGGCCAAGTGCCTTCTCCAGTCTACTAGAGACCCGGACTATATATTTGGAGCGCCATGATGGCGAGATGTTAACTATCTCGCCTGGTATACAGGAGGTTGTGGGTTCGATCCCGAGCCTGACACCTGCTGTATATTTTGAGTTTTCATGTCTCGGGGATTTTTCTCCGTTTCCTCCGGTTTTTCCATTCCACATTTAGAATTAACATCAGGCGTTTAAAATTCCAGATAAGCCACTTCGTTGAGCTATCATTTGTGATAGCTAGGTCACTCATGAAGAAGGGCTTTACCTGTATGAGAAAATAAGAATAGGTTTTACCTTTTCTGGAAATAAAACAGGGGTTGAGTTGTTCAAACGCCAAATAGATACATTTTGCAAAGCATCAAGTCTGCATTAACCACACACGGTACTTGTGGCAAAACATGCAAATAAACATGCTCTGATAATATCTGCATTGTTTTTGGAACTTGATTGGCCTACACCAGAGACAGCTTTCTTTAGGGCCTAGTCTCACCACCAGTGTCAGATCAGAGAATGCCAAAAGGCGAACAGCACAAAGGCAATGCACTATCAGAGCATTTATAGCTAGGGGTGAGCAGCTACAAAATGGGACCTTTTTTGCCAGTATCAAAATATAAAAAATATAAGGATAGCTTTTACCCCTTGGCATCTTAAGGCCTGTTTTATTGCCAGAAAGGGTAAAACCTATTCTTGTGTTTTCATACTTTGATACTGGCAAACAAAAGTCCCATTTAGGGCTTTAAAAGGTCCCATTTAGCGCCTTACCTAGTGCTAAAAAAAGTAATTCAGAGAGAAATGAAGCTCCCTGTACCTGGCTCCCAGTAATCCCTTGGCGGATGCCGCCCGCCGCTTTTTCAACGACGGAGCCTTCTTCTTCATCGCCGCCGCCGCCGACACCTCGTCGTCTCCATCCTCCTCCACCTCGTCATGCCCGGCCTGATCCCCGTCGTCATCGCTCGACTCCTCGGCTGTGACGACAGAGCGAGTTGGTGACGGACGCGAGACTCAATCAGCCACCGACACGCACAGTCCACGCACAATGGATTTACAAAATATCTCGGTGCAAGTAAGTGTAGCTTATACGAGATAACCTTTTGAAATTCCGCCGGATGGAAAACTAATTGTATTTACCCCACTTAAAACCAGGACTAATGTTTTATCATTCACTTAACTTAGGATGGCGAAACAAGTCGTATACGGCAACACATTCGCTGATCAAAAGGAAATTATTTGGGTAAGGAAAAACCGGATAACACAACAGTGTGCGTATCTACAACAATTATTGATGGTGTACCGTATTCAGCGAGCAGCGGGTTGAAGTGCCTTTGCATCATTACATTTGATGAAAAAGCAACATCGCCAGGTGGCTCGTTGGAGCTGTCCAATCAGCGCGTTTTACCCGACTCCGCATATTACATCTTTGACGAATACGACTGACAAGCCAGCCATCTGAAACGCGCTCAGACAAGCATGGGGAAGAGACCGTGCCGGGCGAATGTAAATAAGGTCGGCGCTGCGTGTTATCGTCAGCGAAATTTCGGATTCTTTTCAATGTTGTTGATATAAAAGCTCAAAAAAATGTGTTTTTCTCCAGTACAATGATCGCGATCAGGAATCGGCGTTCTTCTACATGGTCACATCGAGGCCGAACAGAGAGGATTCCGTGGATTGCAGAACAAACGCAAGTTTGAGACATCATCTCGACTTGAAATGCGAGATCTGGCAGGCCACGTTCTGTAGATAGATGATCGCGATGTACATCCACACACCGCTCACTCGAACTCCCGTTAGATTCAATTGTAATCCCTTCTAGCTATTACCATGACCTTCTCTAGCCCGAGCCTGTACCCCCCACAACCTCCCCACCATCCTGTACATCGCCTTACCCCGCTGATATCCATAACCCATTGCTACCCCAAACCCCTCTACACAGCTCTACCAAGCCCACCACCACCACCAGTGTGAGTCTCACCCGAGGGCACGTAGTCAGAATCATTCTCCGAGCTCAGATCCTCCGAGTCGGACATTCTCTTGCCGTTGCTGCTGCTGCTCCCTCTGCCTCTCTCCCCCTCCTTGCTGCTGCTCCTTCGCCTCTTGCGTTCTGTTATCGCTGCTCCTCCTGTCGCTACTGGGTCGACCTCAGCTCACCCTCTCTCTGTGGGTGCGCCTCAACCTCTGCTCCTATTGTCGAACCCTACTGTTGTATCCTATTGTTTAATCCTATTGTTAAACCCTATTGTTTATCCTTTCCAGCGTTGCTTTCCCCGGCCACTTTGCGTCTAGACGAAGCCTCTCGTGCTAGGCCCCGCCTTGTGCCCTTACGCGAACGCGGCGCGCGTTTCCCCTGCCAACGCATTCGCACACACACAGATCCGTGCGTGACACGAATAAAATAAATACACCAGGTCGCGTTGCCTCGCCGTGTTTCGTACAACGTCGTTTCGCGCCAGGGGTTGCCACTCGTTTGCAACGATTACAATTTTTTATTACTATTTTCACACCTTGGTGAGAGTTTGACAAAGTCCTGCAGTAACCTCTACGAATCCGCTGGCCGCGAATGCCTCGACTGTCGGCACATTCGGGGGGGGGGGGGAGACGGCACGCGAACTCGAGGGGCACGCCTCTGATTGGTCAACCGCGCCGAGGCGAATTGCGATTGGCTGGCGTAGAGTGCGCGCGGGGTGGGGGCTTAAACCAGAAGAGGGCGGAGTTAGAAGGCGGGGGGCGTGGCCTAATGTAAGGGGGCGGGTTCAGAATCGGTGTGTACAGGCACTCCTCTACTTACGAACGAGTTAGGTTCCAGAGGTCTATTCGTATGTCGATATTTTCGCAAGTCCAACTTTAATCCTGTCGATTCCAAACATGGTGTACGGCATATACACTAAGCACGGGGAATGGCTTTAAAAGTTGTATAATCTCCTGTAGATGTAGATGCCACTGGTTCTTCGTGTTCTGCAGATGTAGATGCAACTGGTTCTTCACGTTCTGCGGATGTAGAATGTAGTTCTGCAGATGTAGAAAAGTAAACAAATCACCCAAACTCATACAACTCAACCATCTCCATCCTACCAGGCAAAGCCCACTGAAGCATTAACCCATTGGTCAAAAGCGACCTGGCCATAAATGATAGCTCAACAAAGGAGTTTATCATGTGGACATTTATACCATTTATACCAGAAAAATATAAACGTGTCGTTAAATCCGCCACCACCCGACGCATGTTTGTCACGTGAACAAAACAATTGCAAATGTTGTGGCTTTACTCTCCAACACACCGGTGTTGTTGTACTAGTAACGAATTGCCACGTTAACGAGACACACCTTACTAATTGGCAGAGGTGGGACAAAGTCATTGTTATGCAAGTCCAAGTCGAGTCTGAAGTCATCAAATTCATGACTCGAGTCTGACTCGAGTCCAAGTCACATGACTCGAGTCCACACCTCAGAGGTGGGACAAAGTCATTGTTATGCAAGTCCAAGTCGAGTCTGAAGTCATCAAATTCATGACTCGAGTCTGACTCGAGTCCAAGTCACATGACTCGAGTCCACACCTCAGAGGTGGGACAAAGTCATTGTTATGCAAGTCCAAGTCGAGTCTGAAGTCATCAAATTCATGACTAGAGTCTGACTCGAGTCCAAGTCACATGACTCGAGTCCACACCTCTGCTAATTGGCTGTGTCGGGTGGTGGTGGGTTTAATGACACATTAATTTTTACGAGATCTAACACAAACACCTCTATTATGTTTTGATTTAAAGCTTTCGTGACTGCAGGGATTCATCTTCTTGGTTTTTTCGGTAAAAGTCACGTAGAAGGGAAATAATAAAATAATAAAAAATTTCACATAATAAAATACAATTCTCACGACGTTTGTATTATGGATATTGGTCGCTAAAGCCTACGTGTTAAACTGTTCACAGTATAATTTTACTTTCAATGTAAATAAGTATTATATCGTCGTTAATTTTTAGTGATTATTTAAGGGGCAATGTGTTACTCAGTAGCTACGATTATGTAATTAATATGCCGATTGGAAAGCGTGGAACTGTAATCGGGAATTATTTTTAAAATTGCAATTCGTATTAGGCCCCATCGTGTTAAGCAGTCCTTCAAGGCTTATCAATTCCATCTGTATATGTATATCTTATCACTAAGGGTCAATGTGCGAAACGTCGCCTATTTTTAAAATATTTTTATATTATAAAACAATGTCCTTTTAAGGACACAGGGCCACATATACACAGTGTGTTGGTGGCGAACGGAGGATGCGTTTGAGAGGGGGGCGGGGCGTCTCTGGGAGAGGGGGCGGGGCGTCTGCAAGGGGCGGGGCGTCTCCGGGAGGGGCGTGGGGGCGGGGCGTCTACAGGAGGGGCGTGGGGAGGGGTGTGGGGGCGGGGCGTCTCTGGGAGAGGGGGCGGAGCGTTTGTAAGGGGTGGGGCGTCTACAGGAGGGGCGGGGGGAAGGGTGGGGGGGCGGGGCGTCTCTGGGAGAGGGGGCGGAGCGTCTGTAAGGGGCGGGGCGTCTCCAGGAGGGGCGTGGGGAGGGGTGGGGGGGCGGGGCGTCTCCAGGAGGGGCGTGGGGAGGGGTGGGGGGGCGGGGCGTCTCCAGGAGAGGCGGGGGGAGGGGTGTGGGGGCGGGGCGTCTCGGGGAGGGGGCGTCTCGGGGAGGGGGCGGGGCGTCTCGGGGAGGGGGCGGGGCGTCTCGGGGAGGGGGCGGGGCGTCTCGGGGAGGGGGCGGGGCGTCTTGGGGAGGGGGGGGGGCAGCAGCTTCTTTGCCAGGGCGGCGCCACCTGCACAGGGACCGAACCGGGCAGAAACGAGTCAAGGAGAGGATTGCCAACTGGGGGGGCGGGAGGTGATCGAGGCGGAACGGGCTGCCCCCCCCCACCACTGCTGCTGCCTCCGCCGCTGCTGCTTGCGAGCGGATTACGAGTGACTGGACGGGCGCGGACGGGGGCGGCACGGGCAGGCGAGCCCGAGGTCCCGGCATGAGAGCGAGGGCCGGCTGACGGAGGCCCTTGGCGCCAGGGGCCGGGCGAGGGAGCGGGCTGCTGGGGTCGCGGGCCTTCGGGTACCCGCTGGTCCCCGCTGGTCCCCGCGTGGCCGCGGCCATGGGGGGAGCGTCTTCGTCTCCCGAGAGCGTGCGGGAGGTGCTGTCTCTGCTCGCCCACAATCCGCTCGTCGCCTTCACCGGTATGGGTTCGATCCCTAAACGCTGTCTCACACCCTCCTCGTACAACTACTTACCCCTTCTAACCCCTCCTCCATCATCATCATCAACTGCATCGTAGGGCGCGACAAATCCACTGCTGGATGAATTCTACCCCCCCCCCCCCAGTGACCGTCACGATGTGAAGGGCTATTGGGGCCCTGTTCTAAGTCTGTTGGCCGCGTGTGTGAAGTCTGCGGGGTTCCTATGCGAATTGGCGCTAGAGCCAATTCCATCGCTCCATCTCCACGCTGAATGGGCGCTTTGGGTGGCTTCCATGATTTGGCTGACCGCCCAAACTAACTCGCGGGATCATAACTCTACTTCCTTGACCCCCCTTCTACCTTGAGTGTCAAACCCAGGTGTCTTGATGGCCTTCACGTCAGGTTAAGGGGGTCACTGTGTCCACCGGTTGATTGGGGGGGGGGCACGGAGGTGGCGTGGTTGGGGTCCATGCGCCTGTGGGTCAGAGGGTTGGTGGATTGCGTGAGGATCTGCTTGTTTTCTTGGTGCGGAGATGCCAGGAGTTGGCAGATTCAGAAAGTGGATTCGTTAGGCCCGTCCCGTGTATTCGCACAATCCGAGTATTTATTTACACTGCAGGAATACGATGAGATGTAAAGTTAAAATTTTCCCACAGATGTCCATTAGGGGCGGGTCAGAACGTGATAACAAGCATTTTTAAAAATACGATCGGAGTGCAAAGTATAGAACAGGTAAACAAATCGCTTTAAAAATATGCAAATAAAACTAAACTATTTTAGTTTATCTTACCAGGTAAAGCTCACTGAGCTATTCGCTTTTTTTACTCGAGCTACCTGCCACAGCTTTCGTGACTGCAGGGATTCGTCTTCTTGGTTCTTTCGGTAAAGTCACGTAGAAGGAAAATAATAAAAATAAAACATAATAAAATAATTCTCACGACGTTTCGGCCACAACGCAAGCAGCCGTCTTCAGGGTGGAGAACAGGTCTGTCGAGAAGGCAGAGTCTGAATGTGACTGATCACGTGGACATTCAAAGCAGCCAAATTATCTAAAATACTGAAGCGTTATCTTCAGTGGGACGCTCATTATAATGTGCGGTGTGTGTGTGTGCCACGACTATACTACAACTATACTGCCTGGTGTGTGTGGGTGTGCCATGCCGTTGTGATGTGCGTAGGAGGTGTGATGTGCCATTGGGGAGCGGTGTATGTACAGTATGTTGAACTTCTTTTGCACCGCACGTAGTCAAGCGTGCTAATCGGATTTTTTGATGTGTGTGTTTGCGTAGCACCTGTGCATTGTACAGTGCCTCTACGGTGTTCAGGCTTGTATATATGATGTGTCAATTTGATTGTCTGGTGGTGTGACGACAGCTAACATCAGTGGCGAGTGATGTATAAAAACCGGCCTCCCCTAGGTGGACTCAGCCTTGTGGACTCAGTACTGAGGAGACAAAGGCGACCGTGTGTGGTATTAGCCTCTCCCACCCCCTCATGTGCCATTCCGGCCTTCATAAGTGCTCCCTTACAGCACTTCCCCATGCAGTCTGTTAAAGGCTTCACTGGGGTATGTGTGTGTGTGTGGCATCTGAATATTGTGCCACGGGTGTTTGGTGTGCAGGGGTCAGATGTGGAGTGGCATGAGTTGTACCAGTGTGGTGCTTGGTATGTGTAACGTTAGGGTGATGTGTCGTTGTGTGCAAGGCGGTTGACTCACACAGACCCACAGGCTCACATAGAGAGAGACCTGTGACTGACTTCCTCTTTCTATACAATTCATATTACCACTAATCTTATCAGCACAGGTCTTGAGTTGCAGTTGCATTTATACCTGACATACATCCACATTGTTTCTCTCTATACGCATGAACAGTAGAGTTTAACATTCTATAAGTCTACGGGTATCTACGTAAATCTGTGCTTATATATGTTCACTGGACATCGGATTTTTTTTCAAGGATAAATACAGATTCTGATTCTATTTATTTAAGCCCTGGGTCAAGACCTTCCTCTTCCCCTCTGTCCATGACTGATTACCTCTGTCTCGCTCTAAATTACATATGCCCAGTGTTCCTATATATATCCTTGCCCTGTGATGCAGTCGCCTTTAGCTGCTATATAAATTCACGTTTATTGTATAGACTCTGTGAGATCAGGGACTTGCACAGTGACCTAGAAACTCACACATAGGCTCATATACTCAAGGCTCCATAGACTCACACAGACACCCATAGACTTAACACAGAGAGCAAGAGACTCGCACAGATAGACCCATAGACTCGCACAGAGAGACCCATAGACTCGCACAGAGAGACCCATAGACTGCAAATAGACCCATAGACTCAAACTGAGACCAGTAGACTCCCACAGAGATGGAGACTCGTAGATCATCAGCTGTAGGCCCTTATTACTGCCTCTTTATCAACATCACCTTCTATTAGCACGATTGGCTACATATGGTGGGACAGAAGTTTAACATGCATACATACATCACCAATCAAATGGAATAAGGTCTTCCCAAATCGTCTTCCAAAGCCGAAATAGCTACTCTATAAAATAAATGTAAACACTGCTTTCGTACTTTGTATGGAGTTGCAGTTGTATTTAGATCCTACGTATGATTCCACATTGGACTCCCATAGAGACTCATACAATTCACAGGGTTGCTTTGTGAGTGTTAAGGCTCACGGTTTCTGTACAGCATCTTGGGATTTGGTCGCATTTAGACCCCTGTGCAAATCCACATTGCAATTGTCTGGTTTATACATTCCTTGACCTCACCTGCTGTGACCATCTCCCTCTCGCCCTTGCCCACAGAGATGTGGTACTGGGTCTTCCTGTGGGCACTCTTCTCCTCCATCTTCGTCCACGGTTCCACGGCGCTCCTCGCCTTCGTGTCACTGCGGCGCCACCGCAAGGCACGGTTCTTCTCGGTGGCCATCGCCGTCATGGGCGTGCTGGCTCCCATCACCGGCGGCATCATTACCAGTGAGTGTGACCCCTTGACCCCTCCCACCGAGCCCCCCCCCTAGCCCCCCCCCAAGCCCCCCCCAATCGTGCGCTCGCCCCATATGATTTGTTGCTAAGGGCCTCGGCTGCCTTGGCTGTTGTCTCTGGGAATTGTTGGTGCTGCCTTAGGTCACCTGAGGTGGTGAGATGTTATCTGCATTGCTTGGTATGCAGGAGGCCGTGAGTTGGATCCCGATTCTGTCGCCTGCTGTATATTTGGAGTTTGTGTGTTTTCTCTCTCTCCCCGTGATCATGTGAATTGTTCCCTGGGTTCTCGGGTTTTTCTCTCCACATTTAGAAACACGTGTTGAAAGTATTTGGTTGTGATACATTTCCACGTGATAAGCCACTTCGTTGAGCTATCATTTGTGGCCTGGTCACCTGGGAAAAAGAGCTATATAGGTCAGTTGGCTTTACCTGGTAGAAGAGTTTTTTTTAAATAATTGGAATAGTTTAAGTTCAAGTTTGACATCCGTAATAAACACCTCATTGGAGACCCACACCTCATTGGAGACCCACACATCACATACTCCTGGCTTTGATATCCCTCAAAGACACTGGTATAACCATCAACCACAGGAGTGCATCAACTGGCCAATGCGCACATCTCCGTTGTTGGTGGAAAGTGAAGACACAAGCCACAGTATTGCGATTGTGGCCATGCCACCCAAACTATGGGCTGTACAGTAAATCACGGTAGGCTGTGCTCCTCAACGGAGGAAAGGCCTTTAGTTCCCGTACATATTGCCATACACAAGGATAAAATAGTTCCAAGTTTCGAGTTTATTTTGTTCAACCGTGTGAGGACTCAAGAGACCAAGAGAGTCTCATTTGCATGAGGGACCTGAGACCAATGCCCCTGGATGCCCCTGGATGCCCCCGGCTGCCCTGGGTGCCCCTGGCTGGCCGAGCTGCTCCTGGCTGCCTCTGGCTGCTCATTGTTGTTGGTCCTCGTCCACCGTTGCGTCGTCCCCTGGCCGTACCATGGTGTCGCTCTCTCCTCCCTACCGTATTTCTCGTAACACGCTAATTTTGGCATGAGTCATTGTTAAAAAAAATGTCCAAGCCAAATTTTCTTCGTGGAAATGTGCTTTTTATTGAATATTGATTATGTTTGTGCACTGTTTTTAATTTCTTCTGAAGCGTGATTGTTTTTGCCCTGATTTCTATTTGCTTTTTTGTTGTACTTTTTATTTTATTGCTTTCATCAATTTTGGTGACCCGGGAACACTCATCCTTGTCTCTTGAGTTCCCACCCAGTTAAACTAACTGAAACTAACTCGCTGTAATCACCACTGTATTTTGGCCAGACATTCACGTCTCCCGCGTTGACCTTTGGTATCTTTCTTCCGCTCAGTCTCACCGGTAATGCAGACTGGTCTCCAAGCCATCTCGTCTGATCATGCGGCCCACAAAAATGTCGCCTTCCTTATCGCTGTAACGTTTTATAATTTAACAACCTTTAAAGGTCATATCAACATTTTATGGCCGATGCTTTCAAAATGTAGTCCACAGTCCGGATTTTTTTTTGCATTTACCATTCATTTACATTTACACGTAAACTGGAGGTTTTCAATCGCGTGGCTGCTGCAGCACATTGTCATAATCGGTCATGATTACCCAACAGTTGTGTTGTCTATTGCCTCCGACATGACATTAGGTGCTGTTTGTGCTTGTGCTCGGCATGTAACGACGCATCGATTTATCGATTACAATTTTATTCTCACACTCATGATACAAGCATCTGATCATAGATGTTGCGAGGATAGGTTATGTTTTATTTGTGAAGCCTGTGTGAGGGTGATAATACGAATGTAACATTCATGATAATGGTGTAAACAAAACTGGACAAAATAGATGGAAACAAATGTACATGAGACAGGTTCACAAATAACCGGTTTTCGAATCCAATCGTGATCTAAAATTTTGGCACTCCGTCGAATCACTGGAGGGGCGAATGGCTACAAGCCTAATTGGTTACGATCCATTGATGCCTCCTTTGTTGGGGATATTTTATCTCTTGGTGCCTGTGCAACGGTTATAAATAAATGTGTTCATTTAATGACTGGTTATTCTCAGCTTTCATTTTGATGGCAGAATTTCAAAAGCAGGACCGGACTTCAGAGTGGGGCTCATCGTGGATTACGTTGAGTCGTTTCGCCTCCCCATGCTGTTTGTGGTTTTTTTGCTGCGGTGGCCGAGATGTTAACTACCTCGCCTGGTATACAGGAGGTCGCGGGTTTCACCCCGAGCCTGACGCCTGTACATTTGGAGTTTGCATGTTCTCCATGTGGTTATGTGGATTTTTCTGCGGGTCTTCCGGTTTTTCCCCTCCACATTGAGAATCAACATGGCTGCTATAAACTTCCACATGATAAGCCACTACTACTACTTCGTTGAGCTGCCATTTGTGATAGCCAGGTCGCATCTGAAAAATAGCTACACAGCTCAGTGAGGCCTTACCTGGTAAAATAAAAAAAATAGTTTAGTTTGTAGTTTTCATTAAATTAATAAAGATTTTGCTTCAACCAGAGTGACGGAGAAGACGGTGTCTGCTGATGACACTTAACGTTACAGATGCCGACGATGCCGATGATGCACAATGTGAAGGCATTGTTCACGCCATGTCGTTCTCCTATGCGTTTTTCGAGTCATACCGGCACGACGTCCGACGTTTAGTTCCACGTGCCAGCAGCAGCTTCCTCGAGGAACTGAAATTGAGCTGAATCGAGCTTCGGTTTCTTCAGCTCCCACCACGCGAGAGCGAGACGTCAGACATCGTGCTGAGGTGGCGCGTGCGGACATAAAAAAAACGAACACGCGCACGGGAGAGCTGCGCCGCTATTAAGCTGCGGGAGACGCCGGGAGGCTCGCCCTGATTGAGGCCGAATTGCTCTCGGCTCCCGGCTCTGGCAAGGTGCCAGGGTGTTTTGGCGACACGAGCCCCGTGAATTGCCGAGTCGGTGATCTGCGCGACCGAGATGCATCAAGCACGCCACACGCTCTGTACTTTGCACTGCCTTGCAGCAGCAACTTTTACCCATTACCGGCTGCTGTGAATGGGGGTTGTAAAGGCCAGATGGGGAAGCGTCATAAACTGGATAGGCCGCAACGTACGTTGCACAGGAGGAGAGATGCAGACGATTTGTGTGGAGGGGGGAGGGTAGAGCACACGGCAGCCGATTGAACGGCCGCCCAATTTAAACACTAACCACTGAGACAATGGAATCGCTCATACTCAACCTAAACAACCAGTCAACCAGACACTTAATAGTAGCTCTACTCTTACACCTAACCTTCTTTCCAGGCAGACACGAATACTTGCCCTCCGTGCCGCTAACTGCCAACCACCTAGCCAAGCTGACACTTAACCAACCAGCAAGTAGTTCCTGCCCTACCCTTACCCCCTAACCGATTTAATAAACCAGGCACGAGCACCAGCCCTGCTGCTGCTGAACCCGATAACCATATAAACGCCCCCCCTCCCCCCTTTCAATTAAAATGTTTTTTTCCTTTCAGTTTTGGCTTTCACAGCGCAATTGTTCATCACAGTAGTCGAGGTGCAATCTGGGTACTCATTCTGCTTTGGAGAAACCAATTAAAGTTAATTCATTATTTACAACCCCCACCTTCCCCCCCCCAAATATTTTTTAAAAGTTTAATTAAGGGTCCGGATGGAGCCCAGCATGTCGCCCGCCGGCACAGTGTAAATCCAAGGGAGGGGGGGGGATGGTAGGCGATGGAGGCGGAGATGTGATGGGGGTAATCACCCTCCCTCTTGAGAGCATGTAAATGTGTATTTTATTGCTGTTGACTGAAGAATATATGTTGTTGGGGGGGGGGGGGTTATCAATGTGAAGGGCCATATTTAAAAAACGCGCAACATTTCGGGATTACCTCCCTTGGGAAGTTTCTAGATCAGCCTCGGTGTCGATGGCGGGAGTCTGAGGCATCCGTTTACTGTGGATGTCTTTGGACCCAAGTTGAGAGCGCAAGGTCAGACAAAGTCATCCGGAGCCCGATGAGGCAACGAACGACACTGTCTGAATTTTAATCTGCCACCTCTGCTTACCCCAACAATACTTGTGCAACTTCCAAAGATCGTAAAAACTGAGAAACAACGAGCTGGCGACGCACCAAGAGCTAACCAATTGAGCGTTGAGCGGCAGCGTGCGACGACGCTGTGCTACGTGTGTCGGCAAGGCAGAGCAGGGGTTAAAGGTTGGCTGGTGGCATGAAATGTGTGTTGGCCTGCTCTCTATTATCGTTTACTGATGTTGGCAATGTACGTACAGCCCTTCGTCAATCCACTGCTGGATGGAGGCCTGTTGGTCGTGGGCAGGGGTCGGCAACCAAAATAACAAGAGACAATTTTTTTTTATTGCATAACGCGGTAGTTGCGTTCCTGAAGAACACCGCATTATGGAAAAAGCACGTTATAATAAATAACATATAATATGGGGCAAACTACAGCCCGTGATTACACGGGAGATGTGCACGCAGGCTGAACAAAGCCACAGGCGCGTGGGTAGCGTCTAGAAGCATCCAGCAGCATCCCACTGCCTTGTGCGATGCTACGCAGAGGCAGCCCTACCACCGCTTATTGCTACTCGCGCGGCGCAATTCTGTTCACACTCAATCGCGTTATATCCAATTCGTTCCCTCATACATTCATCGTGTTATATCCAATTCGCGTTGTGATATCACGCGGCGTTATAGGGGAACAGTGTGTACTTCATCACTGGCCAGTGCCGGTCAGTGAGAGGGGGGACCCAGGACCGGTTTAGATATCGCTCGACACTCATGTGAGCCATGGTTCGCAATCGAACTCGGGTTCCCACAGTTGTAGTTCAGAGCACAAATCGTTGTGCTACAGCTCCCCACTGACATTAGAAATGCTTTTTTTTTACAGGAATGCCGCATTGAGTACCAAAACTTTTTTCCAGGAGAGTCCAATTCTTATAAAAAAAATTATGAACGGTGTTTTTTTGCATGCGGGAGAAAACTATAATATCCAGAGAAAACCTTGCTTACGCGAGGCTAGACCTCGAAGGTCCACACCGATGGGGTCATGAACCTACTTACCCCATACTGTGAGCTCATGGCTGAGGGCCGTTGGAAGAGTTTCACAAATCTTCCAAAAGATATACGAACCTTTTCCTCCAAAGCATCGGCCCACGGCCGCCTGCTAACGCTGTTCTCTCCGCCCTTCCCCCCTTCCCCCCTTCCCCCCCCCTCTCCCATGCCCCCCCCCCCCCGCCAGGTGCCGCGGTAGCCGGCGTTTACCGCGCCGCCGGCAAGACGATGCTTCCGCTGGAGGCGTTGGTATTTGGCTCGGGGCAGACGGTCATCACCGTCATCATATCCGCCGCGCGCCTCCTCGCCAGCCTCTGATCGCCGGCCTAGGATCCTCCCACGTCGTTCTCCTAGAGCCAGACCGAGATGGAGGCAGCAGCGGAGCGGCCGGTTCGACGCCAGGATGAACCGACGGACGGACGGACACCGCGTGCGCACGTTTGCTGGCGCTCGTTCCGCCGACGTGGAATTGAGCTGGCTGGGAGCGGAGTTCCAGACGGCGCGGATGAAAGCCAAAGTTCGCTCTGCTGGGATTTGAGGCCCGTCTGCGAGGGGCTGCGAACTCTCCGTTATGTTGGCGAAAGCGATTTATTACCGCCGCGGGTCATTCCTGGCGGTGATGCGCTTTGCAGTTTAAAAAATGGAAACAATTGCGAACGGCGTCGACCGCGTGGAGGCGCTGCCAACGACGTTTTGCCCGTCTCGTGATGCAACTGGCCTGGCCTTCCAGCGCGTACGTGCATGGTGTGTGCGAGTGCATGATTCGTGTGTTTTGCGTACGCGCGAGTGTTACACGCGTGTGTGCACTCGCGTGTGCACAAGCGGTGGATGTGACGCCGGCAGATTTCGCGCATGTGTGCCGTGTGCATGATTTGTGTGCGCGCGTGTGCACGTGGGTGTGTGAGTGTGCGTGTAAGTGGCGTGGTACTGTATGCGGTGTTTGTGGGTGCCCGAGTGTGCAGCTTCATGTCCTGGTTGTGCAGCATCGTGTTCCGGTAACGTCTCCCCCTGTGGTCGGCAAACCCTGCACAGCGAGCCCTTGACCACAGTGGAGAAAGACCGTCGGGCATGTGATATTGCATCGATTCGTCGATTAAACGATCGATTCTGATGCGAATACATGCAAAGCAATACGTGTAAAACAGCATAGTTTACAACCTGGCGCATATTACGTGCAAATCACGTGCCCGTATTAACATTTGAGGCTAGCGGAGCGAACAAAGCTGTACAAATCAAACGGAACGAGCTAGGAACAATAGAGGCGAGACGTTAAAACGGAGGCCAAAAGAATTGCATCCAATCGCAATCCTGAAACATGACAATTCATCGAATCGCTCGGTAGGTGAATCGCCACGTGCCTTGGAGTGACGCAGCGAGACACACGCAGAGTTTATCAAGCGTTTATAAATTACACAGTACCTCGGGGACCAGGGTTCTTCAACTTTCATTACCAGCGGGCCGCATAACAACATTGTCATGTCATGGGGTGCCCCGTGCCGTCACACCTCAAGTACTGTATAAATGTTATGGCGTCACACTTGTCAGTGTGACGTCATAACACTTGGCAGTGTGACGTCATTAAAGTCTGTACGTACGACCGCTAATCTGTATTTCTTGTCTCCAGGTCTCTTCTCTTATTTATCTCACTTTAACCTCAGAAATGTTTACCTCTCATCTTCAGGTCTCTCATCTCTCTGCCGTCTACAACTTGGCTCCATGCCTTGTTTATTTCCCTCTCGTTTCGATAATCAGCTGGCCATAGCTTGGCGCCACTCTTGAGAGCTTTTTCCTGGCCACATTGTGCCCTGTGGACAGAGCCGGCCCTAGACCTTTGGGGGCCCTAAGCAAAATTTGGTTGAAGGCCCCTTTGATGTATGATTTTTTTCACCCACTAGCTAGCAGTGACTCTAGGGGGCCCTTTGCTGGCCACGGGACCCTTTGCAATTGCAAGGGTCTCTTAGTGGCTGGGCCGGCTCTGCCTGTGGAGGCCACCAGTTGAAGAACCCTGATGTAGAGCGAGCGCTGGGTTTCCCCACCAACCCTTCCAGCGCTTCCCACAGGTGTCTGCGCGGCACTCGGGACGCCGATTCCTTCCCACGGTACGATATAGCACCGACCCAGCCGATTGACGCTCGTCGCCTTCGCACTATGAGAAGGTTTCGGTCGCCGCTGCTCACCAGCCGGCCGCTAGCCCATGACAAGAATGGTGGGTCTCGTGAGCACGAGATGCAAAGGTGGCTTCTCGCAGCAGTAGAAACCTCCGATTACTGTGGGTCGCTCTGGCTTAGTGAGTTCCCCCCCCCCCCGCCCTGGCACCTCCCTGAGTGAATTAGAGTTGGGTTGAGCCATTTCTGCTGTGTAAGTTCACCAAATCAAATTTGTATATGAAATATTACGTAATATACATGCCCCATCAGCAATCATTTTTTTGCGCTGTCCTCAAAATATTCCAAGGTCGCCTCCCAGATTTTAATGACAATCCAAACACTCCCAGAATTCCGTGTTTACCAATTTCCAGTCGTCACTGAATGGAAGTGCTAATGGGCAGAATTGGTGAACGTCGCAACCCAGGTTGTGGAGTCATGACAGCAGTATTTAAATTTCTGCGATCGCCACGGACCCTTGGCCATCTGACCCCCTCCTCCGCCCCTCTTGTCACCTCGGACTAAAACTAAACTATTTTTATTTTAACAGGCAAGGCCCACTGAGCGACATAGCTCTTTTTCAGAAGGCTATCACAAATGATAGCTCAGCCAAGTGGCTTATCGCTTGGACGTTGATCGCAGCCAAATACTCTGAACGCAAGTTGATTCTAAATGTGAAGGGGAAAACCGGAGTGCCCGGAGAAAAATCCACGCGGCCACGGGGAGAGCATGCGAACTCTAATTATACAGGTGCTAGGGTTGAGATCAAACCCACGACCTCCTGTATACCAGGCGAGGCAGATAACATCTCGCCACCAGGGCCACCAACTTGCGCCCTTCCCCCCGGTGCTTGGCAACCACCAGTCCGTCGGCCCTGGTCTCGGTTCAACTCGGTTCTCTGGGCCCGCATCGGATCCCCTCGTGCGGTTATTGAAATGGCAATGTCACACCGTGAAATAGGGAGGGAAGGAAAAAAAAGAGGAGGGAAAATTAAGGCCATAAATAGTAAGGGCCGATGCGGTTGCCAAGGGAGAGTGTGGATGTTTTGGCAGATGTTGTTTGAGAGTTAATTTACTGTGAGATGGATAGCAAGTGTGTATGTGTGACATATATGCGCGGCAAATGTTGTCCCGTGGCATTTTAGCTCGGGGGGGGGGGGGGGGTTCTCGTTCTCGGGTTCCACGGGCACGTGTGAGTGTGTCTCTGTATGAACCTGGCGACCTGAGTTTCATTCCCAGCAAGTGGTGACTGATCTGGTCCTGGACCACCCCTAGATTGACTCAACCTTCAATGAGTACCCAGTGCCGTGGGCAACAGCATTGAGGAGGCAAAGGTGGCCAGGAGTGGTGCTGTTCCACACGCCATTCCTTTTAGGTGTCATTCTGGCCTTAATAAATATTATCTAATAGCACTTGCCACACTAATATGTATGGCTACAAGGGGGTTCTTTGTCATTGTGTGTGTGTATATGGGGTGTGGTCATAATTATTAATGCTACAGTGTAATAAATATTGTTTATACAGATGCTGATGTTAGGCTAACTTCCAAGGCCATGTGTACTACTTGGTGAATACGATCATTGGTATGTTGGTGACTTAATTTAATATATGATATGTGTGGTGAGAGGTAGGACTTTTTGACTACCCCTCCTATGAGTGTGTGTGTGTTTATACACACAATTACAAAGACCTCCGCATAGCCTACATCAATTGTTAAGGCAAGTGCTGTTAGCTTCCGTCTCTTAAGCCTGGTGTGGTGCACGAGCGGGCGGGGAGTTTGCTGCATAAATAAGTAAATAAAACCCACGAGTAAGAATATATTTTATTATTGTTTCATGCGCCGCTCGTCAGAATATAAAGTTTGAGATCATGACAGGTCAACGCCACCATCCGTTGCCATGGCTTGCTTCTCTATGCTAGATCCGTGCACTGTTGTCAGGTCGGCATGCGTCCTCCAAGAACCATTCTTGCAGTGTCGCACCATCTATCTGGCTTTGAGTGTTCCCGTTTCGTCTCTGAACTCTGGGTAACCACTGCTTAAGCAACCTGGCCTCCTCCATCCTACACGTGTCCCACCCACCAGTATTTCTACTCCATAATGGCATCTACAACTGTTTCTTTCAATGCGTGGTCATTGGACGTGTTAAATTGTCGTTTTTTAACAATTATCTGCTCTGATATCCAACCCCACCCCCTGTCCCTTTTCCAAAAACGTCACGCAGACACTTGTCGCGTAGGTGTTCAAGGTCGTGGCGCACAGCTCTGCGGTGCGTGTTCGGGTTGTACTGCCACCTGTTGTTCGGGACGATGTCCGACGTTTCGCTCCACGAGCTTCTTCAATTCTGATACTAACATTTTGCTCTGGGTAGCCATAAGTTTCGGGAAACTGAAACTACTAAAGCTCCCAGCACTTTGAGCGAGGTGTCGTGGTGTCGTGCCAAACAACGTGCGTGTACGCACGCGCACTAGCTGGACCCCGAGCACCTCTTCAAAGCTGGTAACCCACATAGCTGGGCCTTCGCAGGAGCAATCGACGGGATAAAGCGTTTTCTGAACCCCCCGGGGGCCCGACTGGTTTTATATGTACATAGACACACGGTGGATACTTATTATTATACACTATTCTTGTACATACTGTATTTATTCCGAAATATTTTATTTTTTTAAGGGTTTGTGTTTCTACAGTGTGTACGAGCGTCGCAAATGGGGGTTTGTGTTGGATGCCGGTTTTAAATGTGATGTGTTCATGGTGCCCACTTTCGCACGCAAAAAAACACAACCCGCAGTGTTCGCCTGCCTGAGTTGGATTTGTGACCCTGGATGTACATAATACACTGTTACACGTGTACGAGCCACGCACGAGGGACCGTGTCGTTATTTCCCACTCTGCAGTATGTCTTGGGGAATACGCGTGGAACGTCGAGAGCCAACTTTGGCCCAACGTTTCCAATGACATGCCAGCAGTTGGCCCACGGTTGCGCCGTTTAGAAAGCGATGCCTCATATCTTTGACCCACCAATGAGCTGGCCGTGTGGCTCAAAAGGCTAACTCTGTCTTGGGTCACTGGTTCAGTTCTGGAAACCTGAGCTCGAGACCCTGGCCACAGCCAACGTCAGTGACAAGTGATATCTGAATTGGCCCTAACCCCTCCCCCTCCACACAATCCCAATCCTCCAAAAGGCGTGGGGTGTCACTCAACCAACGTTGGGTTAGACCATGGCTCGTGATGAAATGGCAAGTCGCAGCTTCACTGGGCAGGCTGTGACTGGCAAATGTCCTTCACACTGGGTGGGTAAGCCAGGCGCTGGAATGTGCTTGTGTGTGTGGGGTGCAGGCTGTAGCGAAGTGGAACACAATTACCCTGGGGCCAATCGACTAGAAAACAATCTTAAACTAATACACAGACGAGAGGTGTGTTTCACCATCTACATCGCTACTGTATGAGAAGCGGGGTTTTTTTTTATTTCTGTGAGTCACTTTCTCGGTCACAGGGCTGATGCAAGTTTTGTTTGTCTTGAAGAGTCATGTCAGGGATCTTTCTGATCCAGAAAGAATCCGGAACCTATGGTATCGAATATCGATGATGAGTTTTGCACGTCCTATGACTCTTGAGTTAGTTTTAAAAAAAGAACGTACCGATTATGATCGCCATGTTAACCGAAAATGGTACAGTGATACCCCGATTTGCGTTAACCCCCCCCTCCTTTCACATTGTTTTGAAAATACGTCGTGGATTTATCACTACCACGCCTACCTCATTTGCGTCGCCTCAAGCCTCACACGTCGCCGAAAGTATCGCACGTCCTTCCTGGTATCCGTCGCCTCCACCATCTAACCCTGGACACTGCTTTGACGCAAGCCTTAGATATTCGTCAACCTTTCAGGAACTCATCCCCGACGTACACCGGGGTTTTGTTTGCATTAGCCGAGTGTTTCAAGCCAATTTTAGAGAGGGGGGTTGAAAGGGCGCGGCACCAGCTGGAGACGAGACGGGCTGATGTGGTACAGGAGGATGTGGAGCTGATTGAACTTGCTGATGACCGGTACCAGCGATGCCAAGATCGGGCCTCTGCGGAGGAGGCTCGTGAAGGACGCTCCTGAGTGGTTATGAGGCTGCTGTCAACTTATCCGTTTTGTCGCCAAGTTCAGCAGTTTTCAATTGTGGACAACAGTGAGAGAGCGATGACGCCAAATGTCAGGATTAACACCACGACTCGTGATTGGGGGGCAAGGCGCAGTGCTGGTGATGGAGGTGGCGGGTCACGTTGACTCGGAACTCAGATATAGATAAACAAAAAAAATATCAAAACCAGAATACAGTTTTTGGGTTACATCGCGTAAATATTAATGTGTCGTTAAACCCGCCACCACCCGACACAGTTAATTCAATTCGTAAGGTCACTTAAACAAAACGTGCCAATTGGTTACTAACTTCAGCACACCTTTGCGTTGGAGAGTAAACCCACGACATTTACAATTCGAGTACGACGTTTCGCTGTTGATCACGACCAGCTGCATCAGGCAATTGGCCAGAATTGTGAAGTGTTCCGGTCTTAAATCGAGGAGAAAAGGCGTTGTCATTACTGAGCCTATCAGGCGCGAAGACCAGAAGGGGGGTGGGGGGGGAGAATGTAGTCCTATACATTACAATGGATCATGCCCATCTGAGAATCTGCAGTACCTATTATTGGTTGGGTTCTTGACGGTATTACGTGAAGCGAAGCAGACGCAACTCCGACATCCCTGGCCGCAGCTTGTGACTGACAGCCAAGCACGTGCGCTCCCCTCCCCCCGTGCTGTCAAAATGCGAGCAGGCAAACAATCGGACCCACTTTACGCGCCGTATGATGATGATGATGATGATAATCATCCCCGCTACTTGTAACGAGAGAGCGACTGGGAGGAACGAGGAACCCAGAACAAGCAGGAAGTCAGCCACGCGGTGAGCCGATGCCAAGAAGTGCCCAAGGGGCCGCCCATAAATAAGTTCAAGTTCATGTATTAGGTATAGCCCTGTGAGCCATTCGGCTCTTGAATCGGGTGCAACCGCAACAAACAAAAAACAAAAACATGAACAAAAAAACATCTTAAAGTGACTAATGTGACTGAGTGCAAACAGAAAATCCAAGAAAAGACAGCAAAATATTGCAGAAAAAACACCGTACACCAACGCTGTGTGCAAAAATCCCAGTGGGGTGCAAGTCAAACAACAACAACCACAAGACAACTTAGATTAAGGCCATCAGTCTAACTCTGTACTGCAACAAACAAACATGGCTAAACAAATACACTTTTCGAAATCACCAAAATAAAGCCATGAAAGCAATGAAACAGTGATCATAGGAACTGTGACGGAATTTTCACAAATAACAAACAACATGTACTACCAAAACCCTGCAGCCATAGCTGGCTGCATGAGTCACTCCACAACAGCAGGAGCATCAATCGGAGTATTATAATTTTTCAATGCATCTTTAAGATCAGCACACTAAATCAAAACACAGGGCATACTTTGCAGTGATCATCCGGAGCGAAACATTTTATTTTAGGTCACTGAATAGCACTGGCAGCTAGGGGTGTACAACTCCTCTAGAGCAGTTTTGAGTGAAGATCTCATAGGTAGTGACTTAAGTTTCAATTTATTGGCAACAGCATTCCAGACCCTGGAAGCATCAATAGCAAAGGCCCTTCCTCCAGTATATGTACGGCAATAGGGAATATGAAGCTGGTAAATGAGTGTAGACCTTAGGTCAAATTTGTTCTTTGAAACAGAGAGGAGATCCAGCAGGTAATCTGCGGATTTTTTTGCAAGTACATCATGAATACATCATGAATACATCAGGGGGGGGGGGGTGAGAAATGTGATGTCACATCAAAATGCGCAAATTTAAATAAATATAGACAACACATTCTACTTCATTAAATAGATTTTTTCATAAATATTTTCTCCTACATCAGAGTGCAGCGCCACATTAAATACGCACTACAATGACAATAGTTTAAAGCGATTTGAAGCATGTTTTATTTTTGGGGGGGGGGGGCAGAGCTTTGTGACGTCATATTTGAGGGGGGGTCTGACTTTTTGCGACGCCGTGTGACTACGGGGTGGGGGGGGGCGTCAAAAATCGTCAATTCGCGTGACGTAATTTATGGACGGCCTCCAAGCTCTGCCGTCCTCTCTATATATATTGTACGTTTATGTGCGTGTTGAACTTCTTTCGCACCGTACATAGCCAAACGGAGGTGTGGGGGACGGACAGACTAAACACAACAAATATTAAGATGTGTACATCGGTCGTTTAACGAGTGTTTACATGCGGGAGGGAAATCGGAGCACCCGGAGGAAATCCACGGCGAGCGAGTGGAGACGCTGCAGCCCAGTGCGTGGGGGGGGGGGTGTCACATTCGCCTATAAGACATCATCAGTATGTGTGAGGACCGCCACACATTTGAAACCATTATTGGGGTTGACAGCAGCACGATGATGATGATGACGGGGGGTGTTGTCACGTGCTGTGTATTGTTGGGGGCCCGCGGGCCTTGCAATGAAGAACGCCGCCCTCGCCCGAACAAACCCAACAGACGCAGTCCACATTTGTTGCTGTGCCACCATCTCCTGGTGAGCCCAGGGTGTTATGACAACCTCGACGCCCATGGGAAGGCAGTTTCGCGACATGTTTTGCCGATCCACCAGCCCTCGGGTGTTGGATTACAGGCTTGCGACACACATGAGACATTCCTTCCCCTGACGAGCATCATATCCAACTCCGGTTGAGCAGCACCTTCCATTCTGATGACAGCACCAACTCGCAACCATCTCTTGCTCATGTGGGTCACAACGACCACCATCACAATGGCATCGCGAGTGTCACTTGAGAGCCACTCCTTGTTTCAAGTCAGCAACATCCAGGCACCTTGTTGGGATTCGTTCTCCGGAATACTGTCCACTTTTCTGGCGACTTTTCTTTTTACTATTATTACACGCTTTTATTTAACTCACTTCGTCTGTTGTATCCTCAAAAAAGAAATTTTGTAACTAAATTTTTACACACTTCCCAATGTGCTATCGACTGCAAACTTCGTATAGGTATGTCATACTGATAACAACACGATATTCTATCATAACAAATTCAAAACATATATTTTAAAACTTTTTACACGCTTTTATTTAACTTACTGTATGTGTTGTCGTATCCAAAAATCTGTAACTAAATTTCAACTGTATTCCTAATGTATCGACTGCAAACTTCGTATAACTATGTCATACTGATGACAATACTATATTCTATCATTGAAAATTAAAAAATATATTTTTAAACAATCTTTTTAACGGCTCTAATTGTCCACGCTCAACTGAAAATGTGGAAGGAGGGGAGGGGCGATGGGGGAAGGGAGCAGGGGGAGGGGCAGCTCGGACAGTACATTTCTTTAAAGCGTGTTTTTTAAAAGTATTTTAAAATATTTATTGTAGTCGACATTGGAATATCCAGCTCGCGACGCCTTGGGACTTTTTTAGTTTTATCTGGAAGTTGGCAAACTGCTTCAAGTATTTTTTTTCAGTAGTTATTTTTTCTTAAACACGTAATATACTTTTGCGATCGATATCCAGAATAAAAGTTTTTTGGGGGGTTAGATTGTGTAAATATAAATGTGTCGTTAAGCCACCACCCGACACAGCCAAATCGCCTGATAAAGCTGGTTGTAATCACGAGCGAAACGTCGTACTCGAATTGCAAATGCTGTGGGTTTACCTCTGCAACACACCGGAGTGCTGAAACAGCCAGCGAATGTAATAGCTGTCAACCCCTTATCAGTGCCCTACCTTATTACGGACCAATACAGATCTTACTGGTCACCCCGTGTCCTTATAAATCTCAACGTTCATCCTGCAAAAGTCCCAGCACAAGGGAGAAAAACACAAACAAATAGGCAAAGACATTTTTGCCCGTATTGAAACGTCTGTACGCGTATGGGGGACATGTAAACGCAATATCTCTGTACAAGACTGCGGGGTTAACCTGCGTGGGTTGACAGCTGTGGATGTAATTGACACCCAATTGCCGATGTCGGGTGGCGGTTGTTTGACGACACATTTATGCGATCTAACCCCCCCCCCCAAAAAAAAAAACTCCGACCCTTATTAAGATTTTTTGGTAATTTCAACAGTTGTGGAGCCCCCCCCCCCATGTCACAATCCACAATCCAAGCACTGCCCCCCCCCCATGTCACAATCCACAATCCAAGCACTGCCCCCCCCCCATGTCACAATCCACAATCCAAGCACTGCCACCCCCCATGCCCAACGCGACCTCCGTTCCATCTCCTCCGAGCCCCCCCCTCCATCCCACGGCGTGACGCGCTGCGGTGACGTCACGCCGTGTTTACCCCAAAGACAAAGATCCCCCGTGTAGCCTTCACAGACGGTAGGGGCAAGTGCTGTTAGCGAGCACCTATAAAGGCCGGCACGACACACACGAGGGGGGTGGGTGGCCCAACAACCACGCCCGGCCGCCTTTGTCTCCCTAGTGCCGATGTTTACACATCGCACCGGCTACTCATTTGAGGCTGAGTCGACCTAGGGGAGGGCCCTGGACCGAAAAATCGTCACCGGTGTTGGCCGTGAGCAGGAATCGAACCCGGGTGGCCAGGTTCGTATCGCAGCGCGCTAACCGCTGCACCACCGCTCCCCACACTCACACACCGCGCGGCGACCTATCGGCTCCCTTGGCCGTCTTCCTCCTCCTCGTTCGCCCAACATCCCCTGGCGACCACCCAGCCTCTCCAGCTTGGCCGCGAGCGCTGCAGGGAGGACCCGGGCCGGCCTTGACAAATGAGGGCCGCGGGGTCGCGGGGGTCGCGGGGGGCCCTGGGAGCCCCCCATGTAGCTATAGGCCTTACGCGGTGCCTCCCTCTTTCCTAGCGATTCGGCCGGGTTTGGTGCACCGAGTCCCGCAGCCGCGTCCGGATTTGAATCGGTGAGGGGGGGGGGGGTCTTGCTGACGATGTCCAAATTGTTTCTAATTTTATTTTGTTATGTTTATGGAGTTCTAAAGTATTAGACAGGATTGGACGTGAGTTTCTTGTTTATCTATTGGGTGGCGTTATAGTTTAAACGAGGAAGTTCCAACTTGGTTCCAGGCTCGACTCATCGTGAACAGCACCAATCACCGTTGCCTCTGTGGCCAATAAAATACTAATCCGCTTTGTAAGAAGTCACCAGTGTCTGTTGCGTGTCATAGGAATGTGGAATTTCCACCCTGGACTCTGGCTAAACTGAACGTGAGCGCCGCCTAATGCCCGATTGCCTTGGCGGCGGCGGCGACTTTGACCCATGATGGCACAGCATTGCTTTTTAAATCCAGGGCCATGCCCGTTCGTCAAAGCCTCCATCAAGTGCATTGCGGCAGTAGCCTGCACATCGGCCACCGTGGGTTACTGCCCCAAATCATCGGCAATTGACGGTGGAGATGGAGTTGGGGTGGGGGCAGAGCAGAGAGAGTGTTGGTGCAGCTCTGTCCACACGCGAGTCTCGAGTCTCCAAGCGCATCTTCCCGCTCGGCTAACCGCGGGTCTCTGACCCCTCTCCCCTTCCCATGCCCGTCCCCTGCTCGCCCACAGCAATGGGCAACGCGATGGGAGGCGACGGTGCCGCTCTGCAGCGGCAGCTCGCCCGCTTCCGACCCGAGGAGCGAGCGACTCTGAGCCGCGGGTACGATTCGATCGCCCACACGACGCGGGGACCTGGGGCGGCCAAGCCACAGGGGGCCCCACCCGGCGAAGGAATCCGCGTGGCAGCGCTACGGGTGAGAGAATTCTGCGCCGCGGGTCCAAGCGTCAGGCTTATTCATGACGATCATCATCATCATGAGCGTCACGATGGCCCGTTGTGTTTGTCTGCGCGCGTGTGTGTGTGTGGATCAGAATGAGAATATTTATACTGGAGGAATGCTATGAGTTGTAAAGCTCTTTCTCGCGGATGTCCAGTAGGGATTGTTGGTAAGAACGTTGCAACAACAACCAATACAAAAACACGATAGTAAGGCAAAGTATGGGAAAGGTAAACATCACTTCAAAATATACAAATCAAACTAAATTATTTCCATCATCAATGGGGAGCACAGTTTCTGCATCTGCCAGTCATCTGAGATGAGCCATAACACCTGCTGGGCCTGTCCCGTTGGCACCTGCCAGCCGAGAGCCTCTGACACTTCACATCATCGCCTCAAAGTCCACCTAGCCTGGCACAAGCCAGGCATGCTGTCAATTTGGTAGCCAGCGGCGGCTGCGACTGCTGTATGTGGATTATGTTGAACTTCTTTCGCACCGGACATAGCCAACCGTGCCAGTCGGAGGTGCGACTGCTCATTGGAGGCTGTTGTTGCATGATCAGAAGTCTGATGTCGTCAGATGACTTAAGCTACGCAGACTTGAGCTTGGATAGTGCTTGGATGGGTGACCATGCAGAGCAATCTCCGATGCACACGGTTGGCTCCACACGTACATAGGCTGCAGGGCTACGTGATGAGCAGCAGAGGCCAGTGCAGTAAAATCCATTGTAATGTACCACAAATGCTGCCACGTCTATGGTTCCCACTCACACTCACCCACGCCGACCCGTGTGGTGAAGTATGGACAAAATAACCACCACGATGCACTCATTGTGAAGACGTTTTGGCCTGCTGTGGACTGACAAGGCTCTACATGTACAATCAGGAGCAATATACTCAACTGTTTTAAAGCATACAGTTACAATACTTATTACAGCTGTACTAGAATGAATAATAATTTAAACTTGCAACGCGTCTCACAGTATTCGCTCGAGGAGAGAGGACAACTCAGAGGCGCAAGAAACCACAAACACGCAGGAAGGCAGCCACGCATTAAGTCGGTACCAACAATTGCCCAAGCTCTACGTTCCTCTATATATTAAGGTGTTACTGGCCAATTCATGGGTGTTTACATGTTGAAGGAACCCAGAGCACCCGGAAAAAAAACCGACGCATGCAAGGGGGCAACTATCTAGCCCAGTGTTATTCACGAATTTTCAGAGGTCGGCCACTTTCGCCGATAAAACATCATCAGTGAGGGCCGCCACACATTTGACACCATTGTGTTTGACAGCACAATGGGGTGTTTTCACATTTGTGTATTGTTACGGGCTGCACTCAAGGCCACCGGGGACTGCCAGTGGCCCGCGGGCCTTGCAGTTTAGAAGACTACTCTATGCCATACATATGGATCAGGTGGAATCCACATTTTTGCCGCCTTCTGGCGAGCCAGGGTATGACACCTCACCGACACCCACGGGAAGGGAGGTCGACAACATTTGTGCGATCCACCAACCCTCACCTTCACAGTGCTGGATTACTGGCGTGACCCACCACTGCCCGGCAAATGATGATAGCCGTGTGTTTTTTTGTGTCCTAACGTTTTACGTGCCGGCCGTGACAGCAATTCGTGCAACCCGCGCTGCCGGAGGTGCTGCTGCTGAGCCTGTTCCGGGGAATGAGCCACGCGTACGACCCCACCCTGAAGAAACCCGCCCCAGCAGGTTAACACCTCCTCTTCCTGCTCCTTCTCCACCTGCTCACGCATCCCAACACAGGTGGGCACGCCCGAGTGCCTGAGATTGCCTCCACCTGTTGTGTGTTTTTCTCAGGATTGTCTTTTTCCCAGGTCGCTCTTGCGAATGAGACTGTATCCTGGTCTATTCAGTTCTTGTACTGCTCTACGAATCCGGCATCCCGAGTTCAGAATCAGAATATGTATTTATACTGGAGGAATCTGATGAGCTATAAAGCTCTTCTTCACAAATCTCCAGTCGGGGCAGGAGCACAGGTGTGTGACTATTTCCAGCCACGGCTACTATCGGTGGCAAGTGATACATGAACCAGTCCTGGGCTTCCCCGAGGGTCTACTCAGCCTTAAATAAAGTGCTTGGTGTGTAAACATCAGTGCTGGGGAGACACAGGTACAGGCATGGCGCAGACGTACACCACCCTCACAGCCTTGTCTGCCATGCTGGTCTTAATAGGTGCTCGCTTACAGCATTTCCGCTGACAGTCTACGGCTTTACAGGGGGTCTTTGTGTGCGTGTGCGTTTTAGCGGGAGCAGAGTGCGTGTGTCAGGAGCGGTTCGTGAGGTTCGTGGCATCTGTGCTGCGGGGAGGAGCGGAGGAGCAGGCCGCTGCTCTCTGCTGGATGGTGGGCGAGAGGAACGGAGGCGTCGCCAGTCAGCAGGTCCACCAGGTGAGGACAGCCAACTGCTCATCGTTATCATCATCATCGTCACACACTCACACACCTGTGGTCCAACGCAAAGGTGGCAACAGTTATTTTTTTATTTTACCAGGTAAGGCCCGCTAAGCTATATAGCTCTTTTTCAGAAGCGATCTAGCCACAAATAATTGAACCCAGCAGGATTTGTGAAACTCTTAAACCCTTTGATGCTTTTAGGTGGCCAGGGGAATGCATTACAGCAAGTGGGCTTTTTAACGCATTTGTGCAGACTTTTGGAGTGTTGTAGAAAGTTTTAGAGTATTTGGCTGCTATAAATGTCCACATACTTGATAAGCCACTTCGTCCAGCTATCATTTGTGGCCAAGTCGCTTCTGAAAAAGAGCTACATAGTTTAATGGGCTTTATCTGTTAAATAAAAACATTATAATAGCTTTGGAGGTGATGAATCATTAATTACATACAGGCAACCCTCGCACCAACGACCTAATTGGTTCCTGTACGATGGTCGCAAGTCGAGGCGTCGTAAGTCGAATCCTTATTTCCCATAGGGCTCAATGTTATACATTGGGCTTCCGTTCCTGGAAACCCCTTACATACCATAAAAATACCAAAATTGACCACGAAAATAAATTAAAATAACCCGAACAAACATGTATCGTAACTTAACATAACTTTTACAAACATTTATTATGTAAAAACAAACACTTACATTTGAAAATCCTCAAGTACCTTTCTGTACATGCATAGAAATTCCTCTTCTTAGACGTAGCGAAAGGCGAAATGTCTTCAAAATTTTAATAAAACTTACGTGAAGAGCGTCAAGAAAGAGATGCCTCTACATACGCATACGGTTGAAGCGCAAAGCAGCGCCGCTTGGCAACGAGTGTGCACATAACTCATGCAGACTCGTCGCCTGATGGCGCTGAGTCTGTGCATATCATGCACAGTGCCAATCGACTCGGCGTCGGTAGCAGTCGCTAGGCGGTCGTAGATACGAGTTTTTGGTCGTCACTCTGGGGTCTTAATTACTATAAGAAAGGTCGTAAAAACAGGGGGGATGCAAGTCGAGCCGTCGTAAGTTGGGCGTCACCTGAATAGACATTTCAGATGACGGGAATTAAAATGCCACTTGTCATGATAATGTGGACTTTCCACCACTTTCTCACTGGTGGAGCCAACATTCCGCGGTCGTTTGAACAGAAATGAACCTTCACTTTTTTTGCACAATTCTACGTAAAAGTCAGCCCCGTGCGTGGATGCCAACTTGCCATCAGTAATCAAAGTGAATTCGTCTGGACTAGTCACTAATCATCCAACCCATATTTCCTCCCATAGCTCGTTCACGGCTTGACTTGCGACCCACTATGGGATTCCTTTTTGGCAGTATCCAAAATGATGAAAAATAAGAATGTGTTTCCCCTTTCTGGCAATAAAACAGGAAGTGTTAAGATGTTCAAACGCCAAATCGATACCTTATGCGAGGCATACAGTCTGCATTAGCCACACGTACTTGTGTAAAACATGCAAACAAACATGCTTTGATATAATATATGCATTGTCTTTGCGTATATTATATCAAAGCAATTCTTGTGGTAGATTTTCCTCCCGGTTCTCCAGTTTCCTCTTGCCACACGCTAAATAATTCATGAACGGAATTGGTCAAACATCCCAAAGCAGAACCCTCCTTAAGAGGAATGTTAAGGCTCAGCGAGGCTTTCCTTGGAGGATAATTGATGTTGTGTTTGCAGGGATAATCGCCTCCAGACATAAGCAATAGCACTTCTTCGTCCATTCCTTGTTAATGGGGGCATCTCCATTTACGTGTACTTGACCTCCCATTAATATGTTAAGTATGCAGTGATTTAGATGCAGATAGAGAGTGGGGATTTAAGCAGAGATGGACTGCTCACTCACACCTCATTTGTGTTCTCGTGGCCTGATTTAAACGCGTTTCACAACTGTCCGTGCATCCGATCTCAATGCGACTAATGGCCAGCCTTGCCTTTTGATCATATCGCTGACAATGTGCTAGATCTCGCCAGATAATAACAACAGCAACAAGGACTCTATTTATACCACGCCTTTCATCAAGGACCTCAAAGTGTGGTTGGCTAACTCGTGAAAACTAAACATGAAGAAAGAAAAGATAAAATAATCAAATGAGTTCCAAAAGCTGTTTGCCAAAATTAGCTAAAAGCTGAAATCACAGAAGTGTATATGTCCGTGTGAAACGATAAGAATAAGCTTTAACCCAATAAAACAGGAGGTGTTAAGATGTTCAAACACCAAATAGAAACATTTTGGAAGGCGTCAAGTCTGCATTAACCACACACGGTACTTGTGGAAAAACGTGCAAACAATCGTGCTCTGATGATATCTGCATTGTCTTTGCAACTGATTGGCCTACCCAAGAGACAGCTTTTTTATGGCCTCGTCTCACCAGTGCTAGACCAGAGAACGCCAAAAGGCGAACAGCACAAAGACAATGCAAGTGTCAGAGCATTTACAGCTCGGGTTGAGCAGCTACATCTCCGGGACCTTTTTGCCAGTGTTAAAATTATGAAGCAATAAGAAGATGTGTTTGTACATCTTAACACCTGTTTTATTTATATTCTTTAGTTCTTTCGGTAAAGTCAAATAGATAGAAAAATAAAAATAAAGGGAGTAAAAAAACTCATGTAGACTGTAGCCTGGTTCTTAATCGGAGTGAGCGTACTGGCAGTCTATAATTAAGACTGTAGCAATGGTTATTAAGCTGGGTGAGTGTACTGGCAGTCTATAATGTAGACTGTAGCCTGGTTATTAACCTCGGTGAGCGTACTGGCAGTCTATAATGTAGACTGTAACCTCCTCAGTGAGCGTACTGGCAGTCTATAATGTAGACTGTAACCGGTTCTTGGCCTCAGTGAGCATACTGGCAGTCTATAATGTATACTGTAGCCTGGTTCTTAACCTCGGTGAGTGTACTGGCAGTCTATAATGTAGACTGTAGACTTTTTTAAGCTTGGTGAGCATATTGGCAGTCTATAATGTAGACTGTAGCAATGGTTATTAAGCTGAGTGAGCGTACTGGCAGTCTATAATGTAGACTGTAGCCTGGTTCTTAACCTCGGTGAGTGTACTGGCAGTCTATAATGTAGACTGTAGCCTGGTTTTTAAGCTTGGTGAGCGTATTGGCAGTCTATAATGTAGACTGTAGCAATGGTTATTAAACTGAGTGAGCGGACTGCAAGTCTATAATGTAGACTTATTCTTGGTTCTATCGGTAATAAAAATAAAATACAAATTAAATATTGCCAGAAAATGGTAAAACCTGTTTTTACTGAACTGAAGCCAAAGTTAACGATAGCGGGCGCTGCCCTTGAGTCGGGGCAGTCGGTATCGAACGCAGGCTCGCCTGACAGGGCACGTCGAGAGATAAATGAGTGGTGAGCATGCCACATCAATTGTGACCGTCCCTGCATGTAAGGCGTGTACACTCGTGTGCGTGTGTGTGTGTGTAGCCTGGGGGGAGCAGTAGTGTAGCAGATAGCGTTCTATGCTACAAACCCGGTAACCCTAGTTTGTTCCCCACTCACGACCAATAACAGTCACAAATATTTTAACTCGTCCTAGGCCTCCACTAGATGGACTCAGCCTTAAATGAATACCTGGTGCAATGTGTAAACATCACTGGGGAGAGAAAGACGGCCATGGTGCTGGCCACCCACCGCTTCGTGCGCCGTGCCCTCCTTCATAGGTGCACGCTAATAGCACTTGCCCCAATAGTCTGATAAAAGGCTATATGGGGGATCTTTGTTTTTTGTATATGCATGTGTGCGCATGTTCATGCGTGTGCGTGTGTGTCCATGCTTGTGTGCGCTTGTGTCCAGCTTGTGCAGGAGCTGCTTGAGGTGGCGGTGCAGGTGCTGCACCACGGCAAGCTCCTGCGTGGATGGCGGCTGGACAAGATGGCCGACACGCGGGAAGGGGCAGCCCTCGTGGCGACCGCCCTCCTCGCCGAGATTCGCCGGTCCGGTGAGAGGGCAGCTCTCGGCGTGGGGCAGCCCCAATTTGCCTGTAGTAATGAGAGCTCTACGATCAGTCTATTCTCCTATAACGCAGGAGTTGCGTTCCTGAAGAACACTGCGTTATGAAAAAATCACGTCACTATAAATAATATATGGGGTAAAGAACAGTCCGTGATAATACGTGAGATGCGTATGCAGGCCGAACAAAAACTGAGGCGTGTGGATAGCATCTAGAAGCATCTAGCAGCATCCCACCTTGTGTCGTGCAATGCTGAGGTAGCCGTACAACCCCTTATTCCTCCTTGTGCGAAGTAGTTCTCTTCACTAAATCGCGTTGTATCTAATTCGCATCGCGTTACGTCCAATTCATGTCATGAAAACCCGTGTTGCAGGAGAACAGACTGCGTGTATATGTACAGCAAAATCTTACCAAGTCTCAGGAATCATTAATGAGGGCTTAGCTTCAAGTAGGAGGTTAGCGGAGGACCTAGAGATGGCCTGTGGTGAGAGGGTAATATAGATTTTAGTTTTTCCCATAATGCGGTGTACCCTGAACTCATTATTTTTGGGCATGTAGCGGTTACATTCCCTCTATGTAGGAGGATTAGGTGTGGTGGTCGCAGATTCCAGTATTCAGTTTTCTACTCGTATAAAGAGCCTCGGCACCATACTCGACCAGCATATGTCGTTTGATCACCGCCTGCAAAATTTCGTCAGGTCGAGCAATTTTCATATCGGGGGCTCTGCGACACATTAGTCTACTATTGAGTTGTGACAGCCCACACGGTGGCATGTAACATAGTATCAACAAGGCTCCATTATTGCAACTCACTACTCTACAGGACGTCTGGGAAAAACATTAACAAACTGCAGCGTGTACAACATTCTTTGGCACATGTCGTAACGTGTACTTCAAGATCCAACCGTGTCTGTCCAGTGCTTGCTGAGCTGCATTGGCTTCCTGTTGCCGAACGACTACATTGTAAGGTCGCACTTATTACACACGAAGTTCTTGCCACAACTGAACCACAATACTTTGCTGATTTAATCAAGGAGCAACACATTCCTGCGGAGGGAGCTGGTAGGAACGTTGGGTTGCTCGGTCAATGGCCAGGGTCAACGGCGGCGTGGTGTATTCCGCAAATATGCCCGACTGTGAGGGCGGGCACAAGCCGGCGCGAGTAGGTTAAACGTTGAGTTTTCTAAGGGCACCACGGGGTGACCAGCCCCTCCCCACCCAGCCCCACCCCTCCCGACCCTCCCCACCCAGCCCCTCCCCACCCTCTCCTCCCCACCCAGCCCCACCCTCCCCACCCAGCCCCACCCTCCCCACCCAGCCCCCTCCCCACTCTCCCCTCCCCACCCAGCCCCTCCCTCCCCACCCAGCCCCTCCCTGCACGACGGACACAATAATCTCCTGTGGGCTGGTGTAACCAGGAGATTTCTAGCAGTATAAAGCATCACACAAACTCTGGTCATCCTCACAGCAGCTTTTGGCTGGCCACCAAACAAAGACAGTCACTGCATCGCGCTCTTTCAGATTCGCTTCTGTGGCCGTCTGGAACACGCTTCCTTCCGATATTAGGAAGCCATTGGAGCTATGCACCTTTAAATCTAGTTTGAAAACTAATTTCTTCAAAACATCTTTTTGTGTTTAGTTTTGTCCTCCCACACCTCCGATGAGCACGGTTGGCTACGTACTGTGCGAAATAAGTTAATCAAACATACATATGGAAAGAATAGTTTTTTTCTTCTTGGTTCTTTCGGTAAAGTCACGTAGAAGGGAAGTAATAAAATAATAAAAATAAAACATAATAAAATAAAATAATTCTCACGACGTTTCGGCTACAACGCGTGCAGCCGTCTTCAGGTGTTTTGTTTCTCAATCCTCACTTTGAATCATACCCCGAATCACGACAATTAATCAAATCGATAAGTGTGTGGATATTTTAAAACCTTACACACCATGCTCCTCTGTCAACCACGCTTTCGGCAATAACGTTTCGGAGCTTAACCTTTTTCAGCCCTTGGCCCTCAGATTTGGAACGTTCTGCATGAAGAACTGCGCCTTATCGCTGAAGATTCTCGCATTTAAAAAAAACTACAAACCTACTTATTTGCAATAATATGTGAACTACAAATTTATTTTCTTCTGTATGGCACTCTGAAGCCCTCTGTTGGTTCTGACGCACCATATAAAATCATAAAATAAATATTTTACATTCACGGGATGATGCTGGGCGCCGCTTCCGCATACAGATGGCGCCACGGCCGATACAGCGAGCGGAGCGGTGACTCGCGACGACGTGTCAGGCTGGCTGCACCGCACGCCGCTCGTCCCGGCGCTCCTCTCCCTCCTCGTCACCTCCTCCCTGCGCCTCGACCTGGGTCACGGTCACAACTTCCTCCTCCTCCCCACTGAGCCAGCCCCATCCTCCTCCTCATCCCCCTCGAGCAACGATGACGGCAGTGGCGGCGGCGCCGGGCCCTCCGCGGAGACGCCCGCTCCCGACGAGGACCCGTGCCGCGCACTGCCACCGCTCCTGGTGCCGCCGGCGTGCGAGGGCGTCGCCTGGTCCCAGCTGGGGGTTGGCAGCGGCGGTGGTGGCGGCCGGGGCCCGCGGCTGTTGCTGGATGTGCCGTCGATGCTCCATCTCGGCGTCCACCTGCCGGGCGAGCTGCGCGACCGCTGGAGGCTGCTGTTCTCCAGCCGCCTTCAGGGGGAGAGCTTTTCAAGGCAGGCATGGTGGCGCCGGTAGTGCTGGTGGTGGTGGGAAGCGGTCGTATAGTGGTCAGCGCACAGGGCTATGAATCCGGTGACCCCGAGTGCAATTCCTTCTTACGGCCAATGTCAATGACGATTATCTGCATCAGTCCTCAGCCTTGCCTAATTCGACACAGCCTCAAATGAGTACCTGGTGTGGTGTGTAAAGATTTCCACTGGGGAGACAAAGGCGGCCAGGCATGCGTGGTGCTGGCCACCCACTCTCTCGTGCGTCGTTCTGGCCTTCATAGGTGCTCGCTAATAGCACTTGCCCCAACAATCTGTTAAGGCAACACGGGGGAGCTTTGCCTTTGGTGGTTGTGGTGTGTAACGCAATGCTGTGCCACGTAAAACAAACATCGATATGGAAGACAATGACATGGAGGTCAAATCGGTTTTTAACCGAAATGAGCCCTTTGTGTGACGGCGTCGTGTCGCGATGCATGACGGTGTGGTGTCACGTGCATGATGCGGTGGCGTAGGCTGTGTGGCCTCGCCGTAGGCCAGGGCCCAACGCTGCTGCTCGTGGAGGATGTGGACGGTCATCTCTTCGGGGGCTTCGCCTCGGCCAGCTGGGAGGTCAAGCCCCAGTTCCAGGGTTCGTCTCCACTCGCAGTCATCAGCAGCTACGGTTCCTCCACCCCCCCCCCCCCTGTCATGGGCCCATTCATTTTACAATCAGGGGAGGCCGTGTTTTATACTGCTAATGACTTTTGTTTACAACGTCGCTTTAATTGTTCATTGGTCGTGGAGTAGCAGCGCAGCGGTTACGGCGCTGCGGCGTTTGACTCGATGACCCCCGAGTTCGATTGCTGGCCACTGGCTAACATCAGTAGCCAATGATAACCGAACTGGGAATACTTCAGGAAAATGACCGATGGATGATGAATGACGTTACATTCACAACTCTTTGTCAGAAGCACTTTGTCAATGGCGGTTTGGCCGGCAATCAACGTCAGAGCATTCCACAAATGAACATACAAACAAACTTAATTGAAGCAATTATTTGTATAATTGCATTCATGCTTAAACTTTAGCGATTTTAATAATTGGGTGAGTTTATGTGAGGACAGCAATGATTGAATGGTGAAATCTGGAAACTCTTTGCCCTTTCCCGTTCCGAGATGACGTCTGCAAGTTGCAGGGTGCCTGTCCCGTTCACCGATGAATCTCGGAACATGCAAGCGGTTTGCGGGAATTTTATTTAGAGGCATAGCTCCGCTGTTTTTAAAGACATTATACTCGCCACAGACAACTGTAACCACACTCTATGATAGCTGGCGCCAAACTGTGCCACACGCCCTCCCGCATGGCCTTGTGGGAGCCTCGGTATGTCTTCCGACCTAAAGTTTTTTTTTTTCCCATCTGATTCCGTTCGTCGCCGGAATGGGAAATGGTGAATAGACTATCAGCCGTGCGTCACCGCTCTGGTCAGTGGAGGATGGTGAAGGGAGCACCCAGCAGAACCAGTACAGATGTCACTTGGCCTCTGATGCAAGCCGTGACCGGGAATTGAACTCGGGTCGGCAGATTTATAACACGCCGCGATAACCATCGCATCACCGCCCCCAACTCCTGCGTCTTGTTTATTCTTTTATATTTCCAACAATTGTATGGATATATTTTGCACTTCTTCCGCATCATACATAGCCAACCGTGCTAATCGGCACGAATAGCTCAGTAAATTGTATATGTTTTCACTTCCAGCCGTGCGCTGCCTGTCACACAATGGGGCATTGTCTAGGCTTGGTGTTGGAAGTCAACACTCCCCGGAACCCAAATTCCTTCTTCCTCTCCAGACAAAGGCAAACAAAAGTAAACAAAGCAGGCTTTTCAAAGCCAGCACCAAGTCACCAGGTCGTTTCTTCCCCAGCCTGACTGGGCCACACGCTTTTATACCGATATCTAAATGGCAGTGACACAGCCCTTTGTCAGTCCGCCGACACGGCATGTTTCCCTCCCCATGCTGTGTCGACCTTGTTGTTTAGCCATACTTCACCACTCTGCTGGACTAAAGCTTCCCCCCCCCCGCCCCCCCCCCCGGCTGTCCGCTGTTTCTCGTGGTTTTTGCGATACAAACCGATCCGTCCGTCTTCCGCACGCGAGCGTATTTCACCGCTCCGTCTCAACGGCGGTCGTGATTCCTTTCGCTGCCGTTCCGTCCTCCTCCGGCCTCGATCGCCGGACGTCCTCCCTTCTAGCTGCGACGTGTCCTGCCTCAGCGCACCCTTCTCAGCGGTCAACATGATGTCTCTGGGCCACGTGTGTTCTCTAGTACTCGGTTAACAGTGACATCGGTTAACGGTTTTTGCTGTTAACGTTTCGCCTCATAGGACCCCCCCATGGTTTCGACCGATTTAAAAATGTTAATTTACGTTACGTTTACGTTATGCACACGGGGCGCCAATTTTGGCCAATGCGAGGGCTCGTAAGTGGGGCTGAGCCATGCCCTCAGCCAATCAGCGACCCCCATTTATGAACTTTTAGACCTCGACTGGCTTTGTTTACATTATTACGTTTTTTTTATTTTGGCAGTGGAAACAACTCTCTTGCAGACTCGGTGATTTTTACTTATCTTTCAACGTACAAGTGAATTCGATCAACGGTTATTTCGGTGAGCAGTAGTTTTCATGGAACGGATTAAAAACGTTGACCGAGGGACTCCTGTACATGGGTTCCTCTCCCTTGGGTTATGCCGCAGCGTTCGCCCCTCCCCTCCCCCCGTATAAATCCAAAGGTGCACCGTATAATTCGTCTTTATTCGGACGGCATCAGTAACGTTTTAAAATTGAAGGTCGTCAGAGCTTTTGCTCCGACGACCGCACCTCCTGTTAGCACGGTTGACTCCATACAGTACGAAAGAAATTGAACATACATACATACAACTCTCTTTCATATGGCTGATGTAGATGCAGCGCAACAACTTCAATTTCACATTCAGGTGGTCAAGGCAGCAGATGACCGCGTCGGGAGCAGCGGAGTGTACCGCTGCGATGTCTCCTTCGTATTTTATGGATCGGGCATTGTTGGGTCGTTATACGCTGCACGGTTCGTTCTGGATGACCACGGTCGTATAACGACAAGCCGCAGTGATAGAACGTTCGCCGAACGTGCATGGCGAACTAACCCAGCTCTCAACAATCGCCGCGACAGGCGTTTTTTTTTGCTTGTCTTGCGACACTGAGCCACGATCCCCAGCCAACCCCCTCATTCGCCGTCCTCCGTTTGCGTTGTCCCAGGAAGCAGCCACTGCTTTCTGTTCAGCCTGCGGCCGTCCGTCGGCGTGTACTCCTGCACGGGCTACAACGACCACTACATGTACCTCAACCACGGCCAGCAGACCATGCCCAATGGACTCGTGAGTTCACATCTGCCCCGTCGCCCGTGCGCAACCTGAGTGGTAATCGTAGTGACGTCACCTCTCAGTGTGCCGCCACCGCGCAGCGTTCGCTCACGCTCTCAGAGAGAGAGAGGGGAGAGAGAGAGGAGCGGTGTCCAAATTCCTCCACCCGCCCCCAAGCTCTGCGGTCCTCTGTATATGAAGGTGTTGTCGGCCAATGAGTGAGTTTTTACTGACAGTCCCGGTCACATCCTTTCCCCACCATCGAAACGACGCTGAACTCAGGCCGCCGCCGATTCCTCGACAATCTGTCGATGCTACGACAAAAACTCGCATGGGTAAAAAAAAATCCGAATCGGAATGAGAATATTTATTTATACTGGAGGAATCCGATGAGATATAAAGCTTTTTTCACAGATGTTTAGTGTAATATACTAATTAAGAAAGTAAAAAGGTCTTTAAGGACAGATGTGTGATCCTAATTGAGTAACCTCGCCTGACACCGTCGCCTCCGTGAACATCACCGTTGCTTAGTGGAGAATTAGGACCGTTGTTGATGTTGTTGATGTTGACGTTATTGATGTTGATGATATTGTTGATGTTTTTGATGTTGATGTTGTTAATGTTGATGCTGTTGATGTCGTTGTTGATGTTGACGTTATTGATGTTGATGATGTTGTGTCTGTGTAGGGCATGGGCGGGCAGCACGACTACTTTGGGCTGTGGCTGGACAGCGACTACGGACGTGGGCACAGCCGCGCCAAGCCGCGCTGCACCACCTACGGCAGCCCCCAGCTGTCGGCCCGCGAGGAGTTCTCGCTCTCAGCCGTCGAGGTGTGGGGGCTCGGCGCTCCCCCCGAACGCGCCCAAGGGAGCGTGAGTCCCCCACCCCCCCACCCCTCCACCCCCACACCCCCACACCCCAAGGACCTCCCCTGTCGCTGTTCAGGTTCCATCTGTGGGAATATTAAATGCCCCCTGCTGCTTGTGGCGATGATGATGATGGTGATGATGGTACTGCTCCCGTTGATGTTAACCCTTTCCCATTCCGAGACGTCTACAAATCGCAGGGTGTCCCGTTCACCTCTGAATCTCGGAACGCCCAAGCGGCTCAGCGTTAATTTTATTTAGAGAGCCATAGCGCCGTTGTTTTGAAAGACATTGTACTCACTGCAGAGAACCGTAGCAACACGACCGCCGCACTCTACGGTAGCTGGTGCCAAACTGTGCCACACGCTCTCCCGCATGGCCCCGTGGGAGGATCGGTCGCGATAAAGTTATTTTATTTCAGTTTTTCTTCTGGTTTCGTTTTGATAATGTACTCACACGACACCAGAACAGGAAAGGGTTAATTGTGGTGATGCTGCTGCAGATGTTGCTGCTGCTGTTGAAAGTTGATGACACTGTCGCTCCTGCTGATGACTATGATGATGATTTTGCTCCTGCTGATAATGATGATCATCACCATAATGTTTATTTTGATGACGCGACTACTGCCACTGCTGCCGTTGCCGTTGCTGCTGCTGCTGCTGCTGATGACGGGAGTGCCACGTGCGCCACCCACAGGGAGGCAAGGCCCGCAGCGTGCTGGACGCTGACCCGGAGGTGCAGGCCATGCTGGAGATGGCCGGCAAGGTGAAGCACAGTGACGGCCTCCGCGAGCCCAAGGCGGACGAGTCCTGACCGCCCCGCAACTCGACCGCGTGACCGGCGGCGCGGTCACGTGATCAGCGCAGTGGGGGTCGTGTGATTGGAGCAGAACAGTCATGTGACCAAGAAGAATAGTCGTGTGATCGGAGCAGCACAGTCACGCGACCAGAGTAGCATGGGCCATGTGACCAGCAGCTTCCATCTCAAGTGGGTAGCTCTGCAGTTTCTACTTCCCTGGGCCGTACTTTAACACGTAGGGTAATGTGCAGCCGTGCTAGAGATCCATAGTGGATTCATCACCAAATGACACGAAAGTGCATATTGGGGGGAAAAGTTAATTTATGTCACCTGACCAGCAGTCTCACACGACGGGGCTTAATTTCTCACTGAACATTTTTTTTGGTTTCTTTCGAGTGGCTGGTCGACCGGTTTAGGCACGTGGACCGATAACCGCAGCTGTAGCGGGAAGTAAACTGGACACGGTGTGCCTCGGCGCAGATCGTTTTCTGGGTCACGGACCCCTGACAGACCCAGCTCCCGATTAAGCCCGGAGTGTAACCCCGTGTGACCAGCAGGACAGGAACAACATCGCATGACGAGCAGCGACCTGGCCACCACAAATGATAGTCCAACGAAGTGGCTGCTTGTCACGTGGACATTTATAGCAGCAGCCAAATACTCTAAACGTGTGATGTTGATTCTAATTGTGCATTGGGGAAACCGGAGGACCCGGATAAAAATCCACGCAATCATGGGGCGAGAGAGACATGCAAACTCCAAATATACAGGCGTCAGGGTCGGGATCGAACCCACGACCTTCTGCATACCAGGCGAGGTAGTTAACATCTCGCCACCGTGAATATGCCGGGCTGAGAGAAATCATAGGGAAACTTTCGAACAACCGCGTTATCTCATTAACTTTTTTGATGATTATTTCATTTTCGTATGGCTAATGAAGAGCAACTATCGGAGATTCGGTTCTAAGTGATTTAGCCTTTCAATTGCTTTGTCTGAGAGTTGGTGACTTTCAGATGCACGTACCCAGCCACTCACCACCCACTCACCACCCACTACCCAATCACCACCCACTCACCACCACCCAATCACCACCCAATCACCACCCACTCACCACCCACTCACCACCCACTCACCACCACCCACTCACCACCCACAGCCTTCAAGTTTACATTTGGGGCAGTGCGAAGTTGCATGGTCCATGGTTTGGTGTCCGTATCCACAGCCGTGCACAGGAATAGACAGAGAGAGAGAGACTCTTTTATTCACCACTTGTGCATTGGGTGTCTGCATCTGCCGTGGTTTGTGCGGATCCGGTTAAGCGCTGCCCATTGTTTCAATGGAAGGTGAAAGCCAGGCAGTGTGGTGGTCGTGGGCTTGCTGATGAGCTCTGGGTAGAGGAAGTCGGGCAGTGTGGTGGTCGTGGCCTGGCTGATCATGTGTGTGTTGAGGAAGGTGGAAGCTGGGCAGTGTGGTGGTGGTGGACTGGATGATCAGGTGTGTGTTAAGGAAGGTGGAAGCCGGGCTGTGTTGTGGTGTTGGGCTGGCTGATGAGCAGTGTGTAGAGGAAGCCGGCAGCGTGGTGGTGGTGATGTACTCGCTGATGAGCTGTGTGTTAAAGTAACCAAGCAGCATGGTGGTGGTGGTGGGCTCGCTGACCAGTTGTTTGTTCATAGATCTCCTAAATATATAAATGTGTTGTTAAACCCGCCACCACCCGACACAGCCAACTCGTAATGGTTGTCCGTAAACAAAACATGACAATTCGTCACGAGTACAGCACACCGTTGTGATGGAGAGCCAAGCCACAACATTTACAATCTGAGGACGACGTTTCGCCAGTAATTACAACCAGCTTCATCAGGCGACAGCCAGATTTGTGGAGAAGTCCACCTGTTTCGTTCCTTGTATAGAGGCGTAGATGTGGTGACCACGCTTCTGCACTCTTGTGCAAAGTGGGGAAAGGGATTACTGAGTCAACGTACATGATGCATGCGCATTATGCAAGCCCTTTGTACTCGTACATCCTGTCCATTGTGCGTATTAAAATAGCCCTACCAACGGTGATCCCTATCTGCTCGCTAATCCCTCTCTGCTCTGACGGGGTCGAAATGGTAAAATAACACAGCGTTTACTGAAAGAAAACGCATACTATCTGAATGCAGAGTCACACCATCACCCCGCACAGAAATCTGCTCTTATCAAGACGCTCATTCATCGAGCTAAGAAAGTGTCAGATGGTGACAGTCTGAGAAGTGAAATTCAACATGTTCAAGAAGCGCTGCAAATGAACGGTTACAATGATGCACAAATCAACAGGGCATTGAATGCCAAAACCAAATCAAATAACACGAGCATTGAAACTACCCAAGTAATTAAAACGATCAAAATACCGTACATTGCGGGAGTAACTGATAAACTAGCCAGATGTTTGGAAAAACAAAACATCCGAGTCAGATTTGGCATGGTACATAAAATACAGAAATTAATATCTGGTACAAAGATGTATTACCGAAGCTATCAATAGAAGGTGTGTACAGGATTAACTGCACGTGTGGTAAATGTTATGTTGGGCAAACAGGACGAATGATCAGCGCGAGGCTGAAAGAACATCAGGTAAATATTAATTTCTCCCAAATACAACTGTCAGCAGTAGCAGAACACGCGTGCCAACAAGGACACTCAATTGATTTTGATAATGTTGATGTTCTGTGCAAAACTAGCTACTACTGTCCAAGACTAATTAGAGAATCTATCGAAATTGAAAGAAATTTAAATAATTTTAACCGTTCGGATAGCTACCGCCCTAGTGCTGCGTGGATGCGAATTGTTCAATAATACATTGTTTAAATGCATGCCTATGAAGGGCACCATACTTCAATTGGGATTACCGTTGGTACGGCTATTTTAATACGCACAATGGACAGGATGTACAAGTACAACGGGCTCGCATAATGCACATGCATCATGTACGTTGACTCAGTAATCCCCCTCCCCCATCATTGTGCAAGAGCGCAGAAGCGTGGTCACCACATCTACGCCTCTATTTCAGGAACGAAACAGGTGGACTTCTCCACAAATCTGGCTGTCGCCTGATGAAGTTAGTTGTAATTACTGACGAAACGTCATACTCAGATTGTAAATGTTGTGGCTTGGCTCTCCAACGCACCGGTGTGTTGTAGTAATGACGAATTGGCCACGTTCTGTTTATGTGACAACCCTTACTCGTTGGCTGTGGCGGGTTTTAACGACACGTTTACGCGATCTAACTCAAAAAACCTCTTATGGATGATATTGGTCGCGAAAGCCTCCTACATGTTAAACCAGCTGTTGGTTGTGCACTTTGCTTGAATCCCACTATTTGGTCCACCCCATTTCGATCTTGAAGTTCACGGCACGCAGAGTTTGTGATTATGAACCAACTCATGTATATAAACGGATTTATAATTATTTACTAATGATGTTAAATATATCGGTGGGGGGGTGGGGGCTAAGTGGCGCTGTATTCATGAAGCCTTAAATTATTCCTTGACCCGGCATTGCAATGAAGGAGCGTGTTGCACAAGCAGCGGTGGTTGTAGTGTGCGTGTGTCGGTGACCAGGTCACTCGGGATCCACCCAGTCTCACCGGGGGATCGCAAGTAAAGCAGAGTGTATTGTTGTTAGTCGTGTTGATTTTGTTTCACCAGACACGAACTCATGAGACCAGGATGAACCTCATTTGCAAGAGATGACCCGGGGCATTCTGCCAGGAGGGTGGCGATGTCTGCTGCTGCGAGTGTGTGTGGGATCCAAGTTAAGTAGTTTGTGGTGTAATTTTTCAAATTTTCGGAAATTTGGGTTGCCACGCGGCACACAATGGCCTCCTCTTTCGAATGAGATAATGGAATCATTTATGTAACGAGGACTTCTCCACAAATCTGGCTGTCGCCTGATGAAGCTGGTGGTAATTACTGGCGAAACGTCGTACTCAGATTGTAAATGTTGTAGCTTGGCTCTCCAACACACCGGTGTGCTGTACAAGTAACGAATTGGAATGTTCTGTTTACGTGACAAACCTTACTAATTGGCGGTGTCGGGTGGTGGCGGGTTTAACGACACATGTATTTACGCGATCTCACCCACAAAAACCTGTATTAGGATTCTTTAATGTTCCCCGCACCTCCGATTGGCACGGTTGGCTACATATACACACGTACAGTGTCTGCAGATGTCGTTTGGTTGTATAAACGGTTAATCCACTTTGCAGTATTAACCAGGGCGGCCGCTGGGGTCTTGAATCGCCACGCTGAGCCTTGCACGGTGGTGCTTTGGTTGTCAACTGCGATGCTTAAACCCCGCTCTGGAAGCGATGCTACGGCTCATCTCGTCAGCAGAGGGCAGTGCAGCTAAAGCCATTGCGCTCTTCCAGCAAGTCCGACGCGGGAAATGCATTCACGAAAAACGCGTCGAGAGAAAAGCTTTCCCCCATGAACAATGTAGTAATGATCAAGTTCGGCGAGATACGATGCACTACTACGCACGCGAACAGGGCGATGGCGGGACGAGCAACTGAGAGCACCCCACCGCCACGTTGCTGTGTCATTCCGCTTTACTGTATCGTACCGCTCGGCCGCACAGCTCAAGAAAGTAGTTCGTCGTCGAGCGCTCAGGAACCGCGTTATAACAGTGTGCATTCCGCGTTATAGCAGTGTGCGTTCCGCGTTATAACAGGCGCGTTCAGCGCTATAATGGGGTGCGCGTTATAGCAGTGTGCGTTCCGCGTTCTAACAGGCGCGTTATAACAGGGTGCGCATTCTGCGCTATGACGGGATGCGCGTTCCGCGTGAGAAAAACAGCGCCCGTTGTGCAAAAAGTGTTCCCAAAAGTGTTCCCAAAAAGTGTTCCCAAACGGAAGAACGGCGTCACAGCGAACACGCGTCGCGGTGTGAACGCCGCCACACGTTGAGCGAGGACTCGCCGTGCTTTGCTCCCGCGTCGATTGCTCCCCGCCTTCACCAAACCCCCGCATTTGGCCACCGTGGTTGAATTGTGGGTCAAATGACCCCAATGACCCCACGCGCTGTGTGGGAGGATAGAGTCTCTCGTCCAGCAGCGGAATGACAAAGGCGCTGAGAGCAGGCCATGGAGCGATTTGTGAGCTCTGCCCGGCACATTCGGTTCAGGGATCTGCCGCGAATTCAATGATAACACATTCTTGCGGAGAGAGCTGGTAGGAACGTTGGGTTGCTCGGTCAATGGCCAGGGTCAACGGCGGCGTGGTGTATTCCGTAAATATGCCCGACTGTGAGGGCGGGCACAAGCTGGCGTGAGTAGGTTAAACGTTGAGTTTTATAAGGGCACCACGGGGTGACTAGCCCCTCCCCACCCAGCCCCACCTCTCCCACCCCCCATCCTCCCCACCCAGCCCCTCCACACCCAGCCCCTCTCCACCCAGCCCCACCCCTCCCATTTTTGGATGCACGACGGACGGACGGACACAATAATCCCCTGTGGGCTGGTGGAACCAGGTGGTTCCTACCAGTATAATATAATGTCTTTCCTGTCATCTGTCTAAGGTACAGTTTGTATTGTCGATGGGACCTGTATAGCTGCCATCACTACCAATGTCAGTCCACTGCTGGATCAGTTTCTGTTTATTTTGAAGTACCCAGTGAGCTCTTGAGTCGGGTTTCATCAATAAAAATTAACCCGTAAAAACTAAGTTTTTCACTATACATCCTTTATATGCGTGGCGGCTAGAGTCCTCTCGTCCTCTGGCTTGAGATGGCTGCCACCTATGGATCAGATGATTGCCTGCCACCATTAAGCAATTGGTAATTAAATATAATTTATTTTTTCCTAAAAAGTGTAAAATTTTGGAAAATTTTCACGAAAATAAATTGTCACGCACAACGAGTCTATGCGCAAAATGTCAGCTCGATTGGATCACGGGAAGTGGGTTAAAAAACGACCGAAAGATTTGCACGGTCGTAAGCGCGCAAGCAAGTGAACTTTATATAAAGGATTTTAAAACGCCGTCTCCGCGACAGATGTGACACAACCTTGAGACACATGAATGAACAATCAAATGCCTCTCTCTGCCGTGTGGCTCGTCATGGGGGGTGTTTGACCATACTTCATCACGCTGGTCAGTACGGTTTGGTGACGCGCTGGACCCAGGGTTGGTTCTGATAACCGCTCGCCACTGATGTGTTGACCGTAGCCTGGAATCGAACTCGACTCGCCTGGTTCTGTAGCGCATTGCGCTAATCACTGCACCACACCGATCCACCAATCTTAAATGTCGAACTCAATTCTTCAGAACTGCTTTTTGTGCTCGAAGTTCGCTGTCCTTGCCCCCGCACCTCCGATTAGCGCGGCCGGCTACGTACGGTGCGAAAGAAGTTCAGCACTAGTTAGGAGGGGATGTTCAACAATAGTTTGGGGGGGGGGGGATGAGGGGGGGGGGCGAGTCGGTGTGCAGCGGATGCAGTTGCCACGTGGCTTGCAGCTGAGTCTGGCGACCGCTCGCGGCTGAGGTCCGCTGCTAACGCGCGAATCGCGCGTGCGGATTAGCGGCAGGCCGCCTGGCCGCTTGATCGTTGGCACGGCTGGTGGGAGCCGGGCGTCTTGTAGGCGACCAAGCACCCCGCGTTCTGGGTTTGTTGTAAGATGCTCGTGTGTGTGTTGCGTTGACGTGAAGGCCAAGGCGGGCGGTGTGATCAGATCAAACCAGCTCCCTCTGCAAGCGCGTCCCGATCTTTAAGCTTATTCTTCCCGTAATGGTCTCTCGTTCAGTAAGCTGAGCAGCAGAGGTTTGATTGAGTCTGCAAAAGGGCCGTCCATAAATGACCACGCGATTTTGGACGATTTTTTTTACCTCCCCCCCCACCTTCGTCACACAACGTCACAGAAAGTCAGACCCCCCCCCCCCTCAAAAATGACGTCACAAAGCTCTGCCCCCCCCCCCCCCCTCAAAAAAAAATTAAACATGCTTCAAATCGCTTTAAACTATTGTCATTGTAGTGCGTATTTTATGTGGGACTGCACTCTGATGTTGTAGGAGAAAACATTTATTTCAAATTATATTTAATTAAGTAGAACGTGTTGTCTATATTTATTGAAAGTTGCGTGACGTCATTTATGGACGGCCCCAAAGTGGTTTACCCGCACTTGAGTGACCGACACGCGTCACGGTGTAGTTTGGTAGCAGAAGGCAGTGCAGGAAAACAAATATATTTATTGTGCTGTACTTCTACGCTCCTCTCGGCAATTGGCCTTTGCGCGGTGAAGTCTGATGGAACGACCCTCGTGACCCCGACACTTTGTAGGGGCAGGATTCCATCCAGCAAGGGGTTGGCAAAGGGATGTGGATTAAAAGGAAGGGTTGAGAGACAGCTGCGTTAACGCGATGGGTACAACATCAATCGTAGACAGCGTCCATAATTGCGGTCCTTCCGGGAACAATGGAACGTGTGATGTCACGTGATCACCAATTACGGTAATAGGATCGCCCCCTTCTACGTGGAGCTATTTGGCCACACGGCGACGTTAGTGCCAACCTGGGGACCGTCCATAAATGACGTCACGTACCTAGGGGGGCGGGGGTCAGACATTTGTGACGATGTGTGACGAGTGGGGGGGGGGGGGTGAGAAATGTGACGTCACATAAAAATGCGCAACTTTAATTAATATAGACAACACGTTCTACTTAATTAAATACACTTTTACGTAAATGTTTTCTTAAATAAATTAATTAGACTTTTATGCCACATTAAATACGCACTACAATGGAAATAGTTTAAAGCGATTTGAACCATGGTAGGAGGGTGGTGGGGGTGGTAGGGGGTGGTGGGCTTATCTTGGTGTGAAGTTAACACACGGTAGGGGGTACAGCAGGTGCCTCTCTACCAGTCATCTCAGTCAGCCAACCCGTGGCACCTGCTGGGTCTGTCCCGAGACCTCCTGTCAGCGAGACACTCCACGTGGCCTC